CCATCTGAATCTTTGACACATTCCATCACCCCTTCTGCTGTATGAATATTGCATAGCTGGTCGTCTTGCGCTAGCTGTTGTCAGAACTGTAAAGGATATTCCTGTGCAGGGCCCCGTCCCTGTTTATCCTATTAGCTAGTATTTCATATATTTGACTTATTAATGCAGCAATTTAAACAGAAAATGTGCTGGCTGCGTTAAACTTGTCCTGTTTAAGTTATATATACATATATATATATATATATATATTAAAAAAAAAATTCTGTAGTGTCAGAAATGTAATGTAAGCATGTGTGTATAAATATTTAGCGTTTTTTTACTGGGGGACAATTATTATAATTTTTTTCAGGTGTCTGTCTACGACGATTCAGACTTATTTAGAGTTATTGCACTTCCTGTATTTCTATTTGTATCCACTTGGAAGTGCAGTGCCATATGTTTCTCTCTTGGAGATGATAGGCAGTTCTCTGTGCCTAAAGTTAGTGGATTCTCCAGAGCCGTGTTGATTCCAATGTGTGATCTGGTGATTGTAACTGCACTGAAAACGTGTTCAAAATCGTTTCTCTGACTATGATGGTTGTGACAGTTTTCATCCCAAGCACTTTATTCATTACACCACCATGCTGAGGTGTCACAGGCTAGTGAGGGAAATACACTATGTCAAAGAAATCACATTCTAAAAGTTAAATCAATAAAAGAAAAATAAGTATTTTCTTTCAAATTTGTGTTGTGGTCATTTATAATTATGTTAAAAAAAATATATATATATTTGGGTCATTGTTGTTTCCCAGTCTCCGTCCCCATCATATAATCACTATTATACTGTTCAAAAGTTTAGGAAATTAATACTATTCTGCAAGGACATTATATGTAAATGACAGTGATGACATTTATGTTATAAAAAACCGTGTATATGTCACATCAATGCTGTTCCTCTGAACTTTTTATTCATCAAATGATCCTGAGAAAAACTGATTACAGTTTCTGCAACAAATATTAAAGCAGAACAGCGGTTTTCAACATTGGTTAATAATAAGAAATGTTCCCTGAGCACCAAATCACCATATAATGGATTTTGGAGGATCATGTGACACTGCAGACTGGAGTAATGATGCTGAAAATTCAGCTTGTCATCACAGGAATAAATTACATTTTATAATGTATAGAAAAGTGATTTAAAATTTTTATACTTCACAATATTAGTGTTTTTACTGATTTTTAACATGGGAATGAACTTTGGCATGGCCATCTGTTAGCCTGGGTTTCCCCATACTGCCTTACCGCAGCGCGATTCAATTCACGCTGAAAGGCAGTCTGGATACCATGGCCAGATTTTTCGCCTCATTTAGGGAACCAATCACAGAACGGGGAGGGAGCAGCAAGACGATGACGCGTCTATGCGACACACCGAAGCAGTTTGTTTATACCTATGGATCAAACATGGCAGTAGACGCGAAGTTACCTTTCGATGCAGCCTTACGGCCGTTTCACATATAGGTTTCACACCGCAAGCGTGAGCGGCATTTGAGCAGCGCGTCAGCGTAACTACAGCTGCAGACGCGCGAGAGTATTCACACTGGAAGCGTTTGTACAGTGTCACAGCAGCGGCTCCAAAGCTACATATCGTTAGCCTCATAGCATAATTGCTTAAGTCATTTTGTGTTTTTTCTTGTTTTCCAAAGACATTGAAATATGACTTCGGCATTATATATAAGCGAGCAATTCTTTACAAAAACAACTATACATTTGTTTTTAGAAGTTGGTCATTTTATAACATTGATAGTCTTGAAAGTTTGTAATGGGGAGGTGTACAACATTCGCATATAAGTTAAATGTAATACAACAAAACAACCCAGAAAATGGCTCCAATCTATTAGTTTCAGTCATACTTTCGATGTTTACAAGACCGCAACTCCGCGGATAAAAAACAAAACACACAAATAAACCACACACTCGGTTTTGATTTGGGTTGTGCTAGCCTGTAGCTGTCTGTGTGTTAACGTTACATGAACTAAAAGAACGTTTATATATATTTTATGGCTAGTTTACTTTAGTTTTTTTTATTTATATAATACACAACTTTCACCCAAACTGAATAATTAAAAACAAGTTTTTACCGGGTAAATCTTCTATAAATATTTTAGAGTCTTTATTTTCTTTTATTTGCCTACTCAAGTTCGTGTTAAAACTCACTAGACATGCTAATTCTGTGCATTTTGGGCAATTTTTGTGTGAAATCACATTTATTTTTGTCCATCAAAAGTGTGCTTTCACTTTAATTTAGCGTGAGCAATGGAGCAAAAAACAGATTCGAAACCCCCGCTTCACTGCTGCTCACACGCCGCTCCTGCTCGATGCTCACGCGCTGCTCCCGGTGTGAATGCACTCATTGCTTAACATGCACGCCGAAAAAATACGCGCCGGTCACGCATGCGGTGTGAAACGGCCGTTAGATACACGCCATCGTGTAGGCTCTACACATAAATCTCTGACCCATCGGCCATCGTCGTCTCCCTCGTCTAATTTCTGTCGCTCTACATACGTCATCTGGTATAATCGAAACGATTGGCTATGAGCTACGTACCTACGTACAGCACGGTACCTCCCCAGCCGATACCACCATCTCATCGGCCGCTAATGCTGCAGTCCTTAGTGCTGTCTGCAGTACTGACCCTGTCACACCTGAGGAAGTCAGAGCCGCTCTGGAAAAACTTAACAACAGGAAAGCCCCCGGCATCTGTGCAATAACCGCTGAGATGCTAAAATCCGGCGGTGAAACCATCATCGAGTGGCTTACCCACATATTCAATGAGGTGTGGGAGACAGAGAGGCTTCCCAGCGACTGGACCAGAGGAGTCATTTTGCCCTTCTGGAAACGTAAGGGCGACAGGTTAGTCTGCGGCAACCACAGAGGCATTACCCTTCTCTCCATCCCCGGCAAGCTCTTTACCAGGATCTTGCTCACTCGTGCTCTCCCAGCCATCAGAAGCAGCCGCCGTCCCCAGCAGGCTGGCTTCATGCCTAACCGCTCCACAACAGACCAAATCTCCGCCGTTCGCTTGCTGATAGAGAAGACCTATGAATTCCGTAAAGATCGCCATCTTTACATCGGGTTCATAGATCTGAAGGCTGCCTTTGACACCGTTTGCCACACTTCACTGTGGAGTATCCTACACGCCCTTGGAGCACCACCCAAAATCGTTGCCCTGTTCAAGCTGCTTTATAGCAACGCTCAGAGCTGTGTCCGCATCAATGGCAAAGACTCAGACTGGTTTTCCATCTCCAGTGGCGTTCGCCAGGGCTGCGTGGCTGCTCCTGACCTCTTCAACTGCATCATTGACCATCTGATGTCTAGGGTGTGTGAGCGGGTCCCCAGAGTGTCCTTCGGCAGTTACCACCTGACTGACCTGGAGTATGCTGACGACACCATCCTGCTCAGCACGTCCTACAACCAGCTGAGAGATGCTCTGGGCATATACAGTGAAGAGGCTGAGAAGCTTGGCCTTCAGGTGAGCTGGACAAGTTCATGTATGTCGGTGACGGACCTCATCCAACTTCCCTGCGGCTTGGCAATCACATTGTAGAGCCTGTCAAGAGCTTTGTGTATCTGGGATCCTTAGTGACAGACAACGGGGAGCTAAAACCAGAGATTACCCGCAGAAGAGCCCTGGCTGCGTCAGCCCTGCAGTCTCTCTGGAAACCACTCTGGCGGCATCAGACCATCTCACGCAAGACGAAGCTCCGGATTTACAACTCGGCAGTACTCTCCATCCTGCTTTATGGCTCGGAGACTTGGCCCTTAAATAAGACACTGACTGCGAGATTAGATGGCTTTGATAGCAGGGCCCTCAGGACCATCGAGAACATCAGGTGGCCCCAGCGGGTTTCCAATCAAGTGCTTAGAGCCCGCACGTGCCAGCCCAGAGCATCCTGCCTGGCTGCGCAACGTCGCACCCGCTGGCTCGGCCATGTCCTCCGTCTCCCTCCTGACCATCCGACGAGAGCCATTCTCCAGTTTGATCCGAGGGCCGCAGGCTGGAGACGACCACGAGGTAAACCCCGCACCCGATGGCTCGACGTCCTTGCGAGCGACCTCCAACAACATGGAGTTGCTGTGGAGGATGCAGAGCAGCTGGCACAAGACCGTCAGCACTGGAAACAACTGGTTCATCTGGTCGGCTCAACGCACAGGGATGGGACGCCCCCCCACCCATCGCAGGAGCCAAAATGAATGACAGGCGCATTTGATAGACATTCTTAGCACCCAATAAACGGCTCTGGGCATTCGTAAACCACGCCTCAAATACGAGAAAATGAACATGTGGTTCCCAGACCCAATTCTCAAGGAGATTGGGTCTGGCGTTAGCCAGGCTAGCCATCTGTTGTAACATCGTGAAAAGCCATTTAGAGATTTTCCAGGTGTTCATTTTAAAACGTTCCAAACAAAACATATTTTTAGAGAAAATTGTTCGAACTGATAATCATTTCCTAGGATTCTATTACATAAACATTATATTAGATAGCCTACAATCACAAAAAAAAAAAATGGTATATTATGAAATTTAGAAATATGGTTTAGAAATATCAAAATTTATCCAAGTACTATTTCACTGCACAACGTTCCTTTTCCGTCGAGGTTCCATCCAGTTCATTTAAATAATCATCAAGCAGTAGCCTAATTAATAAAATACATAGGCTATGTGTTATTTGGACTGTCCTTGTTTTTAACGATATTTTGTTTCTTAACTGTAAGTCAACAGCAGAATAGTAAGATTGTAGCCTACATCTTCATACATCTCATTTAGTAAGACGCCTACCTTAAAAATTGGTCTCAAATATTCGTTATTTCTATGCACGATGATGATGAGGCACTATAATTATACTTTTGTATCCTAGGTAAAATATAGAAAGAGAGATACACCTCGTTTACACTGCGAGCGCGACTAAAACGAGATCTCTCCCATGATTGACGAAGCTTCTGCTCATTATTACCGGGAGCGTTCGCGAGAGTCAGAAAACTCTGCGCGCGGACAGTCTATGAGCTCGCGCTTGAGCGCGAGGTGGGCCCAGGCTACTGCGTTGACTATTATGGGAGCCTTCTAGTTTTGTCTGTCAGTGTATATGGGGTGTAATGGTTTAGTCCGAGGTGCAAACACCTTTGGGACTGACTGAGCATCTCTCCTGTCACGTAAGCGCGACTCCGCAGCCTACCGTCTACACAGGGAATCAGGGATCCTCCCCTGTCAAGATGCGCTCGTGACGGTGCGACAGGGCTATTACGATGCACGTCGTTTTTGAAACACAGGCAGTTGAGTAAACAAATCAATAGAAGCCGTGATCAACACGCGTATTCCTGCAGTAATGTAAAGATGGCGAGACTGCTTCATAACTTGCTGTTGTTGACAGTCGCGCTGACGCTAAAGATCAGAGTTATGGGATACTGGTCTCTCATCTATGGATATTGCGCGCTATGCACGGGCGTAGCGCTGCTCAAACTTGGCTGGAATATTATCCTACGACCGTCAACAACCTTTCAGTGGACGGTTCGTGAGACACCCCCCGCGTGCCTGAATGACACGTCCTTGGGAACCCACTGTTATGTTAGAATCAAGGTAAGAGATTTCGTTAAGTATCGGTGTAAGATGGATGCATGACAGTAGCCTATATGTAAGAATGTAACTTCGGTGCTTCTAGATTTTTTATTGCTCATATGTCACTGTTGCAAAGTCCTCAGTTATATTTCTTTAAAAAATATTAACTTTATTGTCGCACAGTAAGAGTAGGCTATATAAACAAGAAAAAAAGCACCTTGAGGATACATTTGATGACAAATATTTGTGTATTTAGATCATATTTGCAGATTTTGTATCTTGCCAAACCTACAGTTTGAGACATTGTTGAGAACTTTTAAAATTGTTGAGAAGATGTGTGAAATTACTCAGAATTCGAACTCCTTTTAATGTCATTGAAAAACATTTGAGACATTAAAGTAATATAATCACCCAAAATGAAAATTCGGTCATATATACTCACCCTCATGTAATTCCAAACCTGTTTGACTTTTGTCCATACAATGGAAGTCAATGGTATAAAAAAGTATTTTGTGTTCTGCAGAAAAAAAATTCATGCCGGTTTGGAATGCCATGAGGGTACGATGATATAATGTTCATATTTTTTGTTTCATAAGGTATCCCTTTAAAGAGATTGCATTTGTGATGTTTGTCCTAATGGGTTTTCTCCTGGAAGAAAGCAGTGACCATCAGTGAACATAAATTCAGCACCACTTGGGTGGACAGCAGTGTGATCAGTTTCCCACAAAATAATAGTCATTGTCTGGACTTTGCTGTCCTTCCAAGTGGTGCTGAAAACATCTCCTTAGGCAGTCTAAATATAGCTGTGATGTATACACCTGCAGAGCTTTATAGCGTTCAAATGTTATTCTAATTGTATGCACCTACCTTTCTCTAGAAACCACTTCAAGTTTTGTTCCTGAGTATATGTGTAACCCTTTTTGTAAACTGGTGTATACAGACATTTCTGAGGGAAAATATTGTAAAACGGTCCCTGCAACTACTGGGAGTGAGGGATTTGGTATAGAAAAACTCTTGCATCAACTCATGATTTCTGTCTAAAAGTAAAATAACAACTGACCTTAAATAAGTAATATCCAAATGTGCTGGGAAATAATAAATGAAAAAATAAGAACTTTATATAGTTATAATGTATTGGGTTGTTTTCTGTATTTAAACAGGGACCCACAACTTTTTTTCAAAAGGACAATTTTGCATTGCAAACAACGTTCTCTTTAAATAGCCACACAACCTGAGGATACTATCACATGCAATTTGATGCAGGCTGCCATTTAACAGGGTATGAATTTTCTCATAAATGTCAATGGAAGATATTGCTTTAATATTAGCCGAAGCCTGCGGACAACGCACCCTCTCTCCTGATACATTTTATGGCTCTATAAAGCAGAGAGTAATGTGAGAATGGATTTTACATCAGGATGGACAGGCCCGGGTGATTAATGAAACCGGGCAGCTTTTATGAAATCCTCCGTGAACGAAGTTTAACTGCCTGTGGTCTCTGTATGGTTTTAGGAGTCTGGGCTCAGATTTCACTATGTTGCTGCCGGGGAACGAGGAAAGCCACTTATGCTGTTTCTGCATGGATTCCCTGAGTTTTGGTGAGACTCAAAACACACTCGCACACACATGGGAAACACTTCTCTACTGGGATGCTGCCAGACACAGATCGGAAATTTATGTTGTTGTGGAATCAGTCCACATTATACACATGGAGTCAGAGATAATATCTGAGACACAAACCTTTCCTTTCAACACATACTTATCTCTTTTTAAGACACAATGTCTAAAAATATCAACCTAAAGCTATTAATATCCTCTTGAGATTCCGAGGTGTGCTGTGCTATTGTTATGAAATGTAAAACGGCTGATATATTGTATTACTGATATATTGTGATATGGAGTGTCGTGACATTCAGACTATCTTGGGCCCAGTGAAGCTGTCGTTTCAGTGAGCTGCCAGACAGCAGAACTGCGATCAGGACAGGACTGTGCCTAATTAACGTGGCATGGCTCCTTTCTGCTTCACTAGCCATTCTACTGCTCCAGAATCAGTGATGAACTCTTGGACGAGTAGAGGAGACCTGGAGGACGCCCTTTTTTTCTGACTTCTGCTCCACTTTAGTTTTCTGCATTAAAAATTGCAAGTCAAAGATTTCCCTCACTTCTGAGCATAGGGAAGTGTTGAGGTTATAGTGTGTGTGTGTGTGTGTGTGTGTGTGTGTGTGTGTGTGTGTGTGTGTGTGTGTGTGTGTGTGTGTGCGATAATTGGGTTTGGATCGTAAGAGCCTCTTCTCTCCTGACTCGTCAGAATCATATAGGCTTCCTTCTGCTTTTCCTCAACTTTCTCTCTCTCTCTCCCTCTTTCTTCTCCATCTTTAAGACACAAATACCATTAGGGAGTGCTGCCAGTGTGGCAAAATGTACTAATACAATTCAAACAAATCTTGAGTAAGTCAAACTAACTTTCACTCCATAAATTTGATTTTAACAAGCCATTTCAGTTAAAGTGCTATAGCCTCTGCTCCTTCAAATGTTTGGCCCAAGTGGATTTCAACACACATCATTTTAATTTGTACTATTATTGTAGGTTTTAAAAAACGTGGCAGAAATTTGTTCATTCAGGTCTAAATTTGGTCAGTCTAGTAAAGTCGTTCCCTACCACCTGTTACAAATAGGCTATTCTGTTGTGTTTGTCCTTAGTTTCGTTTTCATGTACTTAAATTAATGAGTTTCCTGTGTTCCATTTTTCTTTTCCCGTTTCTCTTGTGTTGTCATGGAGTAAAATATGTATTTCTTATTAGGTTATCACTGTATTTGTTTTATTAGAGACTTGTGCACAGCTGTTTTTAAAGGTTTTCGGTAACATTTGTAAAAACGTTTTTTGAAGGAAGCCTCTTATGCTAACCAAATATACAGTAAAAAACTGTAATATTGTTAAATACTGTAACTGTAAATTTTAATATATTTTATTATTTTTAAAATGTCTGTGATGCAAAGCTGAATTTTCAGCCTCATTACTCCAGTCTTCAGTGTCACATGATCCTTCAGAAATTATTCTAATATGCTGATTTGTTGCTCAAGAAACATTTATTAGTATTATTAATGTTGATGTTGTGTCGCTTTTTTGTGTAAACTGTGATAATCTTTTCAGAATTCTTTGATGAACAGAAACGTTTTGTTTTTTAATAGAAATGTTTTAAACATTATGTTTTTACTGTCATTTTTAAATCAATTTAGTGCATCCTTGTATAAAATAAAAGTACTAATTTCTTCTTTTTTTTAAAAATCTGACCCCAGACTAGTGAACAAAACTGAAATATGAAACCAGTGTCAGTCAGTACAGTAAAATAATTTAGATTATTCATTCGTTCATTAATTAATTAATTAATTAATTCATTCATTCATTCATTCATTCATTCTGGTTTCACTTTCTTTTCTTTTTTTTTTTTCTTTTTTTTTTTTTACTTTTTTTTCCCCAGCTCCCCATTGTGACTCCCTGGGATCCACTTTGAAAATCCCTGTTCTATTCCATCTTATTTTCTTATTTTTATTTTATTTTTATTTATCAAAAAAAGAAAGAATGTAGAAAAGAGAGAGTGAGTGTCACTGTTCAGACATCTCAACCTCTTGGTCTAAATGTAACAGCAATCAACTGTATACTTGTGTAACCTGTAGAAATCATACAAAACATATCAAAAATGTACCCCTGGTTTCTCCAGGTTCTCCTGGCGTCACCAGCTGAGGGAATTTAAGAGCGAGTTCCGTGTCGTTGCCGTGGATATGCGAGGCTACGGGGAGTCTGACCTGCCCTCCTCCGCTGAGAGCTACCGACTGGACTACCTTGTCACCGACATCAAGGACATTGTGGAGTATCTGGGTAAGAACAGACTGCCTCCATTATCTCAGCCCAATTTCCATTTCACATTCCAACCTGTCTAGAGGTTTTGATAAGGCTGTTGTAGTGGTGAATGCTAATGTAGCACTCTTCCCAATATTCCGTAATGTGAAGGTGACCCGTTCACAGATGTCCTTGGCTTTTTAGATACGTATTGTCAGTTTAGGCTGCTTAACATGAAGTCTAATTAACTGTCTCTAGATTTCAAATAGAGAATTACTAGTTGAGCTATACGTTACAGTGTGACTCAAGGACAAGGACAATTGTGGATGAACACTGAATACCATGTCAAAGTTAAATTCATCTGTCTGCTTGCACACAGTGGCATGTGTGTAAGCGGCTGGTGGTGTATTATGACAGGCCGTCAACGACACGTTATTAGGATTCATGATGATGTCTTGCTCCAGGGTCTCAGCTCCTTGACATTGGAATCACTATATTGCAGACGGTGGAAACTTCCACCCTGGCTCACAGCAATGGTGTCATTCATCCTTAGTCAGTCCTTGATATGACACTAAATGAACTGCAACGTGATATTACTGCAAAAAAGAGGACTGTGTAAACAGTATTGCTAAGTAAAACATTAGGCCCAACATAACATGATTTTTTTTGTTATATATTGTTATATAAAAAAGAAGAAATAGTTGTAGATTTCTAGATGTTAATTAATTGACTTTCTGTGCCATATTTTATATGATTTCATTTATATTCGAATCTACAGATCCCCGCACGTGACATGCAGGGGAGGGGACACAAGATATTGTGGCTATGATTTAAGAATTTGTCCACGACAAATTACACAAACCGAAACTATTATTTTTATTTATTTTTTATTTATTTTTCAAAATTATGGAGCCCCATATGACATGCGGGTAAAAAGTAATTCATGTTTTAATAATTTGTTCCCTCTTTTCAGGTCAATCGTGGCCACATTGTATTCATTCCCTCATTTTAATTTAGTTAAAACATAACCATGTTTTAGCTAAAACAAGGAAACAAATTAATAATACAATTGTCCATGAATTAATAAGATGCAGGAACGAATTCCTAATGTTTTTTTCACATCATGTTGGGCTTTCAAATTAGCGGACAAAATTTTAGGTTGGAACTGTGGCCTAGTGGTTAGACATTATGCTAGGGTGCTCAATTGGAAAATATGAGTTTGAGTTTAGCTTGTGTAATTTCCCGATCCTATTAATAAGCCATGGTTCAATGCTTAATTCATGGCAGCAAAAATGTGTAATTTTCTAACCCCTGCATGTCATGAAAATATATGAAATCATATAAAATGTCACTGAATACCAATTATAAGTCAACTCTGAAGTAGAACTGTTTTAACTTAAGTCCCAAATATCAATTTTATTTCACAATAAAATGGTTGTGGTGCTTATTTGGAAAAATATGAGTTGAAGTTTGGTTTGAGTCATTTCTCAATCCTATTCCCCCTGTTTTCGCTATCATTTCCCATCTTGTCTCTCACTTTTCCTATTAATTATGAGGCATACATACACAACAAACACAAACATGCCAGCTTCCTCCTTCTGATCCTCTCCTCAGGATACAACAGATGTTTTCTCGTGGGGCATGACTGGGGTGGCATCATCGCATGGCTCTGTGCAATTCACTACCCTGAAATGGTGACAAAACTCATAGTGCTGAACAGTCCTCACCCCTGTGTGTTCACTGGTAAGAGCCTTATACACCTGACAAACAGACTTCCTGTTCAAATATGCCGGTTCCAGAGGCTCTGCTTTGTTTTTAAGGTCATACTCATTAGTATGACCTGCATCATTCACAATGAAATATTGTGGTTTTGCCCAGGGAATCATGGGGCTTTGCCCTCCATCTGTCTTGTGCACTCCAGCCTGGAGGAGGAGGTAATTACAGGCTGGCTTTTGGCAGAGACATGGGTTCCTCTTATAATAACACTCAGTACCTGCCTAGAGTGACACATACACGAATACACCTTTTGATTTTCTTGTTCTTTTGAAATGTATCTCCTCTAAATGGGGTGTCTTCATCTCAACCCTGTAATGCACGTTATGAAGCACGTTTGATTCAATTTACTTACATAAACTGGATCTCATTACTGAAATCAAAAGGTATGTTGCCTAGAGACAACGCTGTGGGAAAAAATAATCAAAGACTGATAATAAAAACTACCTGCAACATGACAGAATTAAACAAAATTGGCTCCCAGCTCATTTTTAATTAAATAAAAATGTAAATACTTAAAAGGTAGATATTATCTATATAACATATTTTTAACACGTAGATAATGTAAAAGACTAAATGTTTTACAATTAGGTTTATCTACTAACACAAGTGAATCGTATTTTATGATGGCTGAAAAATCAATGCAATTTGCTTCTCTGAGAGCTGTTCTCCAGAGTAAAAATGTGTGTCCTCCATGCAGTGCACCATGCCAGATTAAATTATTTTAAAACGACTACCAGGATGTTGTGTGACTAAAAAATCTCTTTACTCATTTATTTAAAATCTAAATCCAAAACCATTTCATTGCCGTTTTATATTTGACTCATGTGCTTACAAAAAAAAAAAAAGGGATTTGTGAGGTAGAGACCTGCGCTTCCCGCTTCCCACACAGAAATGTCTTCCTGCCTCCTACAGCCTATCAAACCTTGTCCCGCGGGAGTGCAGGTCTCTACCCTGTGGCCACCCTGTACAATGGTGGGTTAAAGGGATAGTCCCCCAGAAAATGAAAAATCTGTCATCATTTACTCACACTTATGTTTTTCCAAACCTGTGACTTTTTTTCTTTTCTGCAAGACACAAAAGAAGATATTTTGAAGAATGTTGGTATCCAAACAGTTTTGGTTTCCATTGAATTCCATTGTATGGACAAGTCATTGGGAACCGAAACTGGTAGGCAAGTACTTTTTCTTAATTTTCTCTCTTCTCTGTCCAGATTATGCCCTTCGTCACCCCAGTCAGATGCTCAAGTCAAGTTACTACTTTTTCTTCCAGTTGCCACATTTTCCAGAGCTAATGCTCTCCATCAACGATTTCAAGGTGAGCTTGACAGAATACAATACTGTTTAAACGTTAGGGGTCAGTACGTTTTTTTTTTTTTTTTTAAGAAATGAATAGCATACTATTCAGTAAATATGCAAATGCATTAAATTGATTTAAAGCGACAGTAAAGAAAAAAAAATATGTAAAATAAATGCTGTTCTCTTGAACTTTCATCAAATAATCCTGAAAAAAATGTATCTCGGTTTCCACAAAAATATTAAGCAGCACAACAATTTTCAACTGTGATAATAATGAGAAATATTTCAACAGCAAATCAGCATTTTAGAATGATTTCTGAAGGATCGTGTGACACTGAAGACTTGAGTAATGGCTGCTGGAAATTCAGTTTTGGTGTCACATGAACAAATTTAGCTGTAAAATATATAAAAATAGAAAACATTAAATTATTAAAACACAATATTACAATTTTTACTGTGTTTTTGAACAAATAAAGCCTTTGTGGGCATACAATTTTAGTGACTCAAAAAATAGTTGTATATACTTTTGTTACTTGATAAATCTTACTGTAATAAATTAATGTAATGAATGTACAGCAAACAATAGATTCTGAATTTCTGGACTGATTTGAGAATTTCATATAAGGAACTATATACATATGTAGCTTATAAGCTTAGAAATGCTAAATTACTAGAGTGTGGGTTGATGCTATCTCTATTGTTTTAATTACCCGTAACCCATCATTCTGGATGATTCTTCATAACTGAACAGCTTTTCGGTTTGTTTGTCAGAATTACTAATACAGAGTAAATCAGTAGGCCAAGTTTATCCATCTGTCTTCAACACACACAGCTCAGTCATTATGAATCAGCTCTTTAACTAACACTTTGGTGTGTTTTGAATGAGCAAGTAAGGAAACATTTTCCTCCACCAGCATCACTTAGTGACCCCCGGTTCTGCTAGAGGAATGGTTCAAAATCGCTCTGGCCACTATGCAGGACTTGTATCTGTCATTTGGACATCTGTCAAAATTAATAATAATACACTTAATAATTGGTCTAAAACCAGGCCTTTCAGTTTTGTTATCCAAACCCTGTAAGTAGTAGTTAAAGACACCTCATATAAAGTGGGACCAAATTATGTGACTTCTTTCTCATTGCTTGCTAATGTGGATTTAAAGGCGCTGAAGAATCTCTTCACCAGCCGCAGCACAGGCATCAGTTGTAAAGGCCGCTGGCTCACCACAGAAGACCTTGAAGCATACCTGTATGCCCTCTCACAGCCAGGGGCCCTCACAGGGGCCCTCAACTACTTCAGAAATGTCTTCAGGTACTTGTGTTTCTTATTTAAAAAATCTTATAACAAATTATGTCTTTTAACTGGTTTGTTGGTGTCTTAACACGCAAAAATGCTGCTTAGTTACTGTCAGAAAATGTCGCCCTCTAGTGCCTGAAATGCACATTTGTTTTTTTATATATATATATATATTATTTACTAAGCAACTTTTTTGAGGAGCTGTTTTTTTTTTTTTACTTCAGCTATTGCAGCAGTAATTCCTATAACATCATTGTTTTCTTGCTTATAAAGAAAAAATATTCTATAATTATTTCAAAATGTTATAGACATAAAAGAAATCGGTATCATCATGATTTAGGTGGACAGAATGGTAACTCATTTCATAAGTGCATGTGTCCCTGTCAAGAGGGAACGAGATTGATTTCATGCTCTCTGACCTGTGCATGAGCAGCCATTAACTCACTGCTGATGTAGTAATGATATTCATTCATATTGAGTTCATATCAGCAACAGATCAACTGCTGGGTGTATCTCTAAGAGTACTAAACGATCAAAATTGGTGTTTCAGTTCTTTAATATACCTCTGACATTTGTGGAAATACTCTTGCTTTAAACTGCTTGCGGAGTGCATGTGTTTGAAACATGTGAGACTTGCATGCATGACTGAGCCCTCCATCTGCTCTTGAAGCACACTTTGATTATGTCTCAGGGCAGAGCTGCGCTGACTGTGTTTGTGTGTGTGAGTGGGTGTGTAGGTGGGCAGGTGGGTGTGTGTAGGAGGGCACTGACATAACAGTTTTTACGGAAACCAGAAACACTTAAGTCCATATTAGAGAACTGAGGAGAGGAGCCTAAGGTGTCCAAACCTTTAAAAATGTCTTTACCTCTTTAACTAACTGGTGTGTCCATGATGGGTTTTTAGGGCTGTCAGAAAGCCGCAGGGTTCTAGGGAGTCAGTGGAAACATTACAGAGAAAATAATAAAGATTTTACTAAATGTCTTTTTAATGTCAATGTGGAATGATATTTTGTATAAAAAACAATAATATTTAGCTGAATTGAAGATATATATGGAAACATTACAATACATCTTATAGAGCGTAGAAAAAATGATAAAAATATAAAGTCAGATAATATTTTGCTTTGGCTTCAGCGCAGTAATAATATAAAAGCGAATTATTTAATTTAGCATAATAGCACATTTCTACATAGTACAATAGGTCTTTATGCATATTCTAGATGCCTTCATATTTTAGAAAGGGGGTCTCTTGCAAAGGAATCATCATGTATGGGGATCCATACCCTCAAAAAGTTTGAAAACCCCAGCTATAGACTATTCTTGAAATGGCACTGATATTTGTAAATGTAATATTTCTGTTACGTAACTTGGTATATTAGAAGGAATAATTCTAGGGAACAGACTTTAATCACTAACACTCAGGAACCAGGAGAAAACCACACAAACATTAATGAGAACGGACAGAGACTAAGAGAGAACTGAGGGTTATATACAGATATATACAAATATACAGACAGAGCAGATGAACAGGGCAAAGGTTAATGACATAACCAATTAAACAGACTGGGGAGAACTAGGTCACAGGACTAAACCAAAAACACAATGAAAACATAAGAGACAGACCATACATATAACAATTTCATGTTTACTGAAATTTGTGTATGTTATAGACCGCTTTCCCTATGATAATTCTGGCATCTGAAAATTATCCAATCATTTATTCACCCTCAAGACATCCTGTGTATATGACTTTCTTCTGTAAGCCGAACACAATCAGAGTTGTTACAAACCCCCAATCAAACACTTGTTAAAAGGGGTAAGCAACTTAAAAAGGACACATTAAACAAGGTGCAATTTAACCAATAACATTTATTATAGACCAAAAATAATGAATGCAGTCAAACTCACGTTTCCTAACATTCAAACAAATGAAGAGACAAATACAAATGCGATCAAATTGACCAAACCAAAACCAAGACCACTTTACGAACTTGAAAAACAGCTTGTATCCAGTGACTGTCTGGGCATAGTGGCGTGCGTGGTGTTCATCACCACGTGCTTCAACCTGTATCACTCTCGTCTTCCGGAACTCCTCCTCAGAACTCCTCCCGAGTATTTCCTCACTTCTCCTCATGTCCGCAACAACAAACCCAGAGCCAGTGCCAAAGCCTGCTAAGGGCCTAAAGCCTGAGCCCACCATAGACCCAGAGCCAGTGTCGAGTCTGTCCAGGTTTATGAGCTGGCCACAACATCCGTCCTGGAGCTCGAGCTCGAGCCAGTGTTTGTCCTGGAGCCCTTACCTGCACTCGCCACGTACATGAACTACAAGCCAGGCCCCACTGCAAACCCAGAGCTGAACCCTACCATGTCTGACGACAGGTGTGTGAGCTATCAATGTTCACCCCTGAATACAAGCCTTGTTTCCACTTTGGTCCCGTCTAGTCCAAAGTAGTTTTTGTCATTGTTGGTTAAGCCCAGTTCCAAGTGGTCTTTGTGGCCATTGAGTCGAGCCAGTACCAAGTCTCCTTCACTGTCCAGCACCAAGACTCTTTCGCCATGGATGGTCCAACTCAGCCTCCCTCTCTCCTCTCCTCTGGCAAAAACATCCAGTTCTTTGGCCTTGCCTCTGCTGTCTCCTTTCAGCCCTGTGGCTCCTCCAGTGTTTCTGACGTGTTGCTCGGATCCTCCTTGGGCTTCCCAGTCGTCAGCTCCGCCTTGGTGCATGAATCCCTCAGCTCCAGCTCCACCTCTAGCCTCCGAGCTCCCGACTCCACCTCGGCCTTCCGACCCATCAGCTCCACCTTGGCTCAACGCTCCCTCTACTCCACCATGGTCAGTCATCCTTCAGGCTCTGCCAGGCTCCCTCCGGCTCCGCCTTGGTCAGTCATCACCCTGGTTGTGCCATGGACTTCCGGTTCTCCGGCTACAGCTCATCACTCCACCCCTTCGGCTCCATCGGGCCCTTCTTTCCCTCTACTCCACGTTGTCATCACTCCCACTGGATCAACCCCGGTCTGCCAAGCCCCCATCTCCACCTTGGTCCCACAAGCCTGTGGGTACTCCTCAGCCTTCGAGTCCATCGGTGTCACCCCTGATCTTCGGCTACGCCGGGGCCTCCCTGGCACTTAGCAACGCACACCTGTCACTCATCAGCCCTCATCATCATAAGCACTATATAGCACACCATCACAAGTTGTCTGGCCTCGTCAAGAAAACACGGACTCACTTACCTAGATTACTTAACTTTGGATAACAACAGTAAACATCTAGTTTTATCCTCAAGCCTTCTTCAAGTCATCATCTAGTAATCAAAGTCGTCTCTTCTTCCCTGTCATCTTCTCTTCTTGTCTGATCCCTAGTGAAAAAGAAGACTTGTTATTTACCAATGTTATGACTTACCTTCTACTGTGTCTGTTCCTGCTGCCTCAATAAACTTACCTAGTGTTGTTGTTCATCGCTTTCATCATCATTATGTCAGAGCCAGTTTGTATTGGTATAGCCTGGTTAAAACCAGACCATTCTCAGTTGTAACTGAGTTATGGTCTGGCAAAGCGTCATAGACAAATCATTTCCAGAGGGGCGTCACCAACGAACGTCGCGGATAGACCTAAAACCAATCAGAGCGATGAAGGAGATGACGTATGCAGAGCGGTGGAGAAACATCTCCGAGTGTTGTTCTTTGCTCGGTTTTTAACAAAAAGGAAACGTTCAAATCACTTAAAAAAACAGACGCGATAGCTGATTCGAACGAGTGATGTTCGACGGCGGCATCCATCTTTGTAATGTAGGCTACAAAATCTGCTTCAAAATCCCAGCGCTGTTGTTATCCTGTAAAGCCCGCCCCAACGTTTCTGACTGGTGCCTCGATTTCGACGGATTGGAAATGGGCTTGAATGAGCTCTTTGCCAGACTAACTTTCAGAGCAAATCTAAATTTGCCGGAAGTTGTCTGGGTTTTCCCAGGCTAGTATTGGCAGACAAAAATGATGAACCTTGTCAGAACCTGACATTTTAAGGAATGTGATTATTTCATATTTATATGGATTTCCATTTTTTCTGAGAAGTATGGACCATGTGAGTCATCAAATGGCATTAAACAATTACTAAACAAACTGCAAAATGCTACATTCTGAAATACATTCATTTAATGCATTAATTGCTTCCGACAGCACTGATAAAACGATCAGCATCATCTAGTGGCTGTGTGCGGGACAGAGTGAAGAGTGAAGCTTGGCAGTGGTACATGCTAGCAGTTCATAATACAGTGTTTTCAGTGTCTTGGAATGGCTCCTTTTACAAATAAACCCCAGCTGTAAACTGTAGCCCCCTGGAAAGTTTAATGTGCATTGATATGAAAATACAACAAAACATATGTATTTTTAAAGTGCATTTTTTAATATCTATTCAATGATTTATTTTGTCTGCAACAATATGGTGTCTTAAATCTTCATCTGTGGGATTTTCTCAGAAAAACAAACTGTTTACACCAGACGTGAGTGGCGCAATGCGACTCGACAAAAGCAAATAGAATCCATTATAATAGGTAATGCTGTCTGGATGCGGCGCGACACGATGGTGACATATTCCTGATGCCTCGTTCTACATCAAACACTCGTGCTACTTTTGATATGAACAAACAGATTTCCGACGATCGCGTCCAGTGTGAACAGCTTCTAGCTGTTGCGTCTTGTGTAAACACAGTGCTAATAAGTGCAATTATGGTTCTTTGTGTTCAGAGACTCTTAGTTTGAAGATTATTTTGTTCCATTTTTCCTGCTTTTTTTAAAACTGAGAAGTTTTTCCTTTGAGATTTCCGCGTATAGACGACACCATTGTCAAAACGATCCCCATTCACACGGATCGCTAAAACTACTAAAAACGCTGTATTCCGCTGCCAGGCTAGCCTGGATGCCAGCCCGAACCCCGCCCACAACATTTTTTGGTCGGGAAGTTCGGTCTGGACTCGATCCATTGAGGAGTAATTATGATCAGTCAAAAAATGTTCGGGCCAATCAAATTGCCAGGGCGGGCTTTATACGATGATGGACAGATGATCTGCAGTTACGTAATCCTCACGTCATCAAAGAGCGTTTGGTTTGAACTGGTTTCCCTCAAAGATGACAGCAGCTGGAGAATTGAGATGTATACATTCCGCTATGTATACATAGTCTGTCGTAAAAGAAATCGACAGGGCATTAATTTTAAAAGACGAAAAGAGAACTGCAATAAAGGCATTTGTCGATCGTCAAGATGTGTTTGCCGTCCTTCCTATAGGATTCGGCAAAAGTTTAATTTATCAGCTGGCTCCGATGGTCGCTAAGAATATGGGACGCAATGAAAAGCCTGTTATCATTGTGGTTTCTCCTTTGGTCGCACTCATGGAAGACCAAGTAAAAGAAGCAAACGAAATGGGCATCAAGGCGATGCAACTCATGTCAAAGCCATCGCTACATCTAACAATGGTAACGCTTTGTTATACTGTACTCGCACACCATACCCATACTGGTAATCACTGTACCACTTATGAGCGGTTTATTTTTTAAATAGAAATAATTAGATGATGTTACTCAATTCAGTTTATTTGCCAGACTCAAGTCCAAAACACCACGCAAGACAGAACAAATAAACAAGACAAAGTACAAGTACAAGAATTACTAATCATTTTGTATTTAAATCATCATTAAAACATAATTTTGGCTCCCGGTCTCTTTTCTCTGAAGACTCAAATGAACACGCTTATTCAGCCTGGTGTTTTTCGTTGTTTCTCCATTTATTAAAATCAGTCAAGTCGCGCTCCAACCCTGTTATAAAATTGAGACAGGTCAGACTAATGCGAGTAGATTTTTTGTAAACGGAGAACTTGTTCGTATATACATTCACATTTTCTATTTCGTTCAAAAATGTTTTTCGAGTTTGCAAGTACTCTGCGAATCCTTAAATTCTTTTTGCAACACCGGCAAAGGTCGTTAACAATCATTTTTCTTTTAAATACTTTTTCGTGAGTGCGTGCAGTTCATAGACAGTAAAAGAAATGGACACAGCGACCCCGTTGATTTCAACGGAGAGAGTTGAAGCCCAGCATGGGCACTCACTTCCTGATAGCCAAGCGTTCTGCGCAGGCTCAAACTGAGCTTGACGACGTAGTTGTCACGTGAGCAACCGTTCAGACCTTCTAGTAGCTGTGCCGGGACAAATCTGAATTGAAATTTGAAACAAATCTGTTGTTGAAATATTTTGTCCCGTTGCTTTTATGAACTCTCTATCTATGGGCTTCTCCCTTGACTTTATGCCTCCATGTCCACCCGATTGCCTCATAGACAGTAAACGATTGCCGACGAGCTTCTACTTCTGTCTACACGGTAATTTCTCTACTGTGCGACAGAGCGTCCCGTGGTTATGACGCAATCGTTAGCCTATTTTTACAAGAATGGCTTCTACGGGGCCATAACGTAAGATACAAAGTAATGGAGCCTTTTATACATTGTCGTGTTTCTTTAGAAATAAATAATGGACAAATGGAGTCTTTAAACGCCTCAGATGTAAAGTTATTCGCTGTCAAAGTGACGCCAAAATGAATGGGAGTCAATGGGATGCTAACAGCAGGTGATAGCCAGCTACAATGGCGGCCCCCGGAGGCAGCTTCAACTTCCGGCTGATGGATTACCCCCTTGGTGCAGTTCAGTTCTGTTGATATGAGTCGCTCAACATACGTCACGTACTGCGTTGCCCTGATTGGTTGTAGGTCTATCCAATTGAGCGCAGAGTTGTTGTTTTTTCCTGGTTCGATTAAGACACGCCTCATAATCAAAGCCCTATGGAGCCGTATCAGACTCACATTCTGAATAGAATATGAGTATGACGAAGTCAGGCTACTGCCAGGCCACTAGGTGAGGATGAATTCACGTTTTTGTTGTTTACACGAAGTGTTGTTTAAAAACGTGCACTCTGAAACTCGTTTTCAAAAGTTTGCGTTTTCAGGAACCCGAAACGCCGTTGTCATGTTAATTAACGGCCAAAATGCATAAGTCTTCCGTTTTAGTTAAAAAAGGGTGCCGTGTAAACAGCCTCTTAGTTACTGATTATGTTCATCCCCTGTTTCTTGTTGAGGTCTTATCTTATGTCTTGTCCACACGGAGACGCGTTTATTTATACGTTTTAAATGCGTTAATTCATTATTTATGCGTTCTGTATATGTAGAAATTTTGTATCGTACTAGCGTTTCGTCCAGACGGATCTGCCGTTTTGGGAGCCTGAAACCGCTATTTTCTTAAACCAGGTCCCAGAGTGGATAAATCTGAAAACGACACCCTTGCGTTTTCGTGTGTACTGCCAAAGCCAGCCAATCTGTATATTTTGTGAAACAATGATGTCATCACCCCACGTGTCGACGCTAGTCAGACACCGCTACGTCACGCAGCAACAACTGCAGACTACATGCTTGTGTTCGTGCTGCAGAAGTTACTGAGCCTCTTTTATTTCTTTATTTATTATTTACTTGAATGTTTATTTTTATTTTATTTCTTTATTTTACTTCTTTACTTATTTACATTTTCTTTCTTATGCTATGATGCTTGTCAGTTGTCTGATTAAGACATTTCATATTTTGTACCTGGTCATTTACGTTTGTTTATATTGTTCAATAAAGTTATTTGGAAAAAAAAAAGAAGTCGAAGAAGCTACTGAGCCTATTATTGTATACAGTGTGCAAGGTTTATGCACATGCTCCAATTCTTCTGCGTTTTTAGTGTATCTCTGTGGCAGAATTACAGCACCACATACTGGTCTGGCATGTATACTACATCGTTTTGAGTCGGTTTCAGTGGTTTCGTGTGTACGCAGATATTTCTTGAGACGACGCCGTGTTTACATAATTTGTTTTTAGAACGAGGGAAAAAAAGATCGGACAGGGAAAGCTCTGGCTTCATGTGGATGTGGCCAAAGTCTTCATTTTGTTTCATTCTTTTTCTCGTGTTGTTTATGCTGCCACACATTTTCTCTGTTTATTCTTTGTTGTTTCCTGAGTTGATTATCTCCTTTGTTTTTGGTTTAACTAAAAGTGCTGCATTAGATCCTCTTCTCTTTATTGCCAGCCCAGCCATGACAGATTGATTGGGAACAGTTTAATTGGTATCACTTTACTATAAGGTTTAATTTTTTAACATTAGATAACTACATTGGTTAACAATAAAAAAAAAATCTACAGCATTTATTAATCTTAGTTAATGTTAATTTCAGCATTTAGTCATTCATTAAGTAGTATTTGTTTGTATTATATAATGGACCTGGGCTAACATGAACCATCAATGAACAGTTAACAAATATTAATAAATACTGTAGCAAATATATTGTTTGTTGTTTATGTTAATTAATGCATTAACTAATGTTAAAGAGACCTTATTGTAAAATGCTATTGATTAATAAATCATCATATCATGTAATTAATTTGACATTTAACATTTTGAATCAATTGACAGTCCTAATTTTTGTATTCGCCAGTGTCCTCCCACTGAATCAGAGTGAGGTGAAGTCTCCTGTATTGCTGCTGTGGGGAGAGAGAGATGCCTTCCTGGAGCAGGACATGGCCGAGGCCTGCCGTCTGTACATCAGAAACCATTTCCGCCTCAACATCATCTCTGGAGCCAGTCACTGGCTGCAACAAGACCAGCCCGACATCGTCAATACACTCATATGGACTTTCATTAAGGAGGGAGAAGGCCGGAAAAACTACAGGAACTTATAATGGGGTCCTTCGCACTCTGAGCTTGTCTGAAGAGGGGGACCAGGGAAATGCCTGTGAACAAACACCAATGTAATGATTAATGCAATCCTCATTTTAAATTTGATACATTTAAGATATAGAAACAAACTTCAGTGAAGCGGAAAAGAACAAAAGCACATTTTAATTGGAAGGGTTACGTAGAGAGTAGTACGTTTAATCTATTTTTCTCAAGTTTGCACATGACATTCGCCTTAAGGTTTCTTGGTGACAGTGTTTAAAAGTGTGTTGCAAAATATCTGTGAGTAAGTTGTAAAGTGTGGTGCCTTTCAACATACCATTTTGCAGCTTAAAAGTTGTGCCATGTCTTTTCGAGACCAAGCAGTGGGGTTGTCAGCCATTTGTATCATCAGTTTTGATACTCTCTAACAAGTAACACAGTCTTAAGGGAGTCCTAAACCCCTTCACATCTCTATCAGGTAGTGTTGTCTTAGTGGAAAATATTGTTCCTCTTCTTTTTTTGTATTTTTGACAATATTTGGCTTAAACGTTTGAGAATGTCATTATTTTGATCCTCCTGTATGATAAAACAAAGTGATGTTTCAATATTGTACACTTTTTTTGTATCTCTTCCTAAACACTGCATCTGAGACAATAGAATCAGCTCTGTGACATTTTGATTTTATAAGCAAATAAATAGGCTTAATAGTGGGAACTTACTCACTTGAACTCTCTGTTACCTTTGGTTATTGATAAGAAGGATCTTCAAATGTAGGAGTAGGATCTACAAATGTCTGGTCTTCTAGCGGAAATAAAAGGTTGCAGTTACAAATTATTGTGGAAAGTCAAAAAGACTTGCCAGAATAATTTGTAACTGCATCTGCCAAATTTTCAGAAAGCATTTCCAGAATTCAGAGACACTTTAATTACATTTTAATACTTTGTACTGCCTTGGTCAATTACATAGCAGTCATTTTAATTTTTTTAAGTTCTTAAATTGACACTTTGTTTATTTAGTAGTAAATATTTTCAATAAAGTAATATTTCAAAAGAAATTAAAAAAGGGAGGGCAGAACCTCCCTTTATTAAATGCTGCTTATAACATTGGAATGTGGTCAGTAAGTATATTACATTTATTTAAGGATGTTTAAAAATATCTATCATTCTTATTCTGTAATTGGTTTATCCAACAAATTCCATTTAACATAACACACTCAACCATGTTTTCAGTCCAAGTTAGTAGGGTAATGCAATAAACATGTTGCCAGACCAAATTAGTTAGCAGCCAAGCACTTTCAGTTTAATCAAATTCATGCACAGTCTCTACTAAATAAATCATCAACTAATTGTATAAAATGTCACTTTTTTTTATTATTATTATTACTTTTGACACTTTTTTTTACATTTTAAATGTAAAGACATCACTTTTATTATTTTATATAAGGATTTATAGAGGTCCTAGCAAACAGTACCTTAGTTGAAGGCAGTGTTTCATTTTCTGAATAAAACTAAAGGGTTACACACTTTATTTTTCGATGCTCAACTTTAGACGTTTTAGACTAGATTAGTGTTAGGTGTAAGTAGAATAAGTTGACATGTAGTTGCAAAGTTAGTAGAATGTCTTAAGCTGACCATCAAAATAAAGTGTTACCAACTAAAGTAAAAAACAAGAGAGGAGGGAGGGACTAACTCTCCTCCACTCCAACTGAGCATGGGAGCTCCCTGTGGAGAAAACGGGGGCACAGGTGTTGCTTGTAGAAAGGAGGTGGACACGGGTGCTCCCTGTGGGATAAGGGAAGGAGTGTGGAGACCTGATGTGCATGGGTGCTCCCTGTGGGAAAGAAGCTTGAGGATTCTGCTGCCTTTATTTTTCTGCTTTTGCCTCTCATTCTGCCTCTTCTGAAGGATATGGACGACACGTGAAGCTGCAACTGTACCAGCAAAGTGTTTTCTGCTCTGCTAAACATGTGGTGGATCATATGGCATACAAATCATAATACACTCATCTGAGAAGAGAAGAGAAGAGAAGAGAAGAGAAGAGAAGAGAAGAGAAGAGAAGAGAAGAGAAGAGAAGAGAAGAGAAGAAAAGAGAAGCATATCAGGGAAGGCAAAGTTATTAGGTGTCCCCCTGTACTCAATAATTTTAGCCCTTAGAACTCATCTTTGATCACCAAAATGACATAGGCCTATTTAAAACATTGGTTACAAGGTAGTTTGTGATTCTTTGGTTCAATGCCGTTTAAAAGAGAAAATACAGCATGGTGTTGACTTGTGAATTTGCACATGGTTTGTCTTAAAGCATATTAAAAAAGGCCACATAGACATAAAACAACATTACAATTTTGATTTTTACCACAGGGGGACTTTAAGATGAAAGATTAGGGCACATGATTTTAAATATATTTAAAATATATGTGCTCGGATTCATAATTTATAAATAGCCTAGGCCTACTCCCAGTAGTCCATAAGATAGTCCATTTTGATTTAATTGTGACTTTAAGACTAGGTCTAGATTTCTCCATAGCCTATATATTTTTTAACTTATAATTTGCTTTGTTTCTTGAAAAGTTTCGTTCTATTACAGTTGGCAGCACACATCTAATAACCTCACACAACCTTCACCTACTTTGCAGGCTACATTTCACATCTGCACCGCATGAGGGCAGCATAACAAAGTCAGAAATACTCCCAACTCCCAGAAAGCACTCCTCATGTAAATTGTGAAGGTTGTGTCAGCTTTCAATGGACTGTTCAAATTTGCTTTCGCTATCAGAATCATTTGTGAACGGCAGATGCGGATGTTTAACTGCGAGGATGACGCGTTGTTCAGTTTGATAAAGTGTGTGAGGTAAGTGTCCGCATCCAGTTGTCATTGACAACACGACAGTCTCGTGATGCTTTTGAAATGTCATTGTGCCTCAGTGAGTGGTCTGTTAGTTTTATCGTCTCCAGCGAGATGTGAATATTATTTTTTCTTGTAGGAAAATGCAGATCAAATTTCTATTATTCATAGCGAAGTTTATCTCTTTGTGGTTAATGACAGTTTATATGCTAATATGGCTAGCAGTCTGGAATAGGCTAGATTATTAAATACACACCCTTTATTTAAACATGTAGCACACAGGATGTGATAGATGAAGTGATTTTGTGTAAATATTATTATTTTATGAGTGGTTTATGAAAGCACGCTTGTTTTGATAGCTCTCTGATATGAAAACTCAAAAGGTGTGAATGCTAACGTTAATCATGCTAACAGATTAGATTTGTCCATCTCTAAGCTTTATAATATAATATCATACCGCTTTGCGTAATTTGAGCATAACATTTAATAATCAATAATTTAACGTTACTTGATTATAATTGTGCATACTCACAGCTGCTGAGCCATGTTTGACTTGGTGGTCAAAGATCTGACAGGGCAACTGATGGTGTAACGTTAGGCATTCAAACCCCATGTGTCAGTTCTAAATCTACAAGCCCTGACAATTAACTGTTTACACACACACACACACACACACATATATATATATATAATAACTATTTAAACTATATTTGATATTATTATGAATATAGTTTTTCTATTTTGTTTATCACATGTTCTGATTTAAAGATCTAATAGCCTTGACATTATAGCCATTTTGATATTATATGTGATGATAATTAAAATCCTGACAGTATTGTGCTACCCTGTCACATCTTATTGTTTATAAATACCATAACCCATTATGCTTCTAAATATTAGCTTCATATATTGACAGCAGCCAAAATGTTTTTTTTTTTTTATGTCAGTTAGGCCTACATTTACTTTTACAGTAATTTCAACATTCTTAATATTGTTTCTTTGTTTACTTTGTCTTTATTTTTTAATGTAATATATATTTTTAAAATATTTGTTTATTGTATTCATTTATTTCATAGATATTTTTTTCCCTAGTACATTTTTGTACTTTTGACATTGGAATTATATTTTGTTTTATCCTATATGGGACTAGTTTAAAAAACTAAATTAAAATGAAACAATGACAAAATAAAAATAAATAAAAACCATTGATTGACCATGAAGATTGTTATTGTTATACTATATAGAACACTTTAGACAAAAGCGTCCCTCATTTATTTGTTTTAGAATAAAGATGTGGTCAGGAGACTGAATTGTGTTTCTTATTTCTCTCATTAGATGTTCGTCATGACAGAAATGTGCTGACGTTTGTGCTCAGCAGTTTGGCAATAACATGTCATCCACCGAGGCTGCCAGGGAGTTCCAAGCTAAAGAGCGCAAATGCAGAAACCAGCTGAAGAAGCGACTGGCAAATGCTTTGTCAGGAGACCTGAACCGGTAATTATCACCTTCAACATGAAATACATTTGTTATGCTTTTTCAAAACTTGTATGAATTTCTCATAGTAGCATAGAGCATCACTGTTGTTATGACGCACTCTTAGCAACCAGTGTAGTCAAATCACGCCGACCTGCTTTAATGTTTGCACAGCTTATGCCACTCCCTTTGCTGATTTCATACTGTATGCAAACTCTGATCATTTGTTTTTTATGTAAACATACGTTACCATTCGAAAGTGTGAATTAAATAAAAATACATGTTTATTTTTTAACAAAAATATTTTAGACATTTTTAAAAGAAATGGATAGTTCTGTTCATAGCATTGATGAAAACTGCTGTCAGAATCTGAAAAGAAACATATTTCTCTAGAATAGTTCTTTAGTTTATGGATGCACAATATATTGGTACAAACATCTGATTTTACAGGTTTTTTCTGTCAGCATTGGATTTATTTGTCCATTCTCATTCCTCTATTTTTAGATTGATACTTTTTCCGTCATTTGGCACTCATTTAAGTTAATCTTTAAAGCCACTAAAAATTTAATTATTAGTAATAATTTAAACATTGTTGATTTGTAATCTTAAGCGAATCTCAGAATGATTATTTTTTGATACCGCACATTTTAATGCTGTGATGCCTAAATTCAATTAGGATTGATTTTAGTTTGCAGCGTTTTATTTTTAATTTATGTAGACAAAATTATTATTTTAATTGTAATATCGTCCATTTATTAAATATTGCCCATAACATGAAAATTATTATCGATTAATCGATATTGAATCAGTATCGGCCAGAACTGTAATGCCAGTACATCCCTGCTATTGTTGTTTTGCGTGATGAAGACTACTCAATGCACTACTAGTCTTGAAAGAAGAAAGCAAACATATTTTCTTTTAAAACGTTATGTCCTCCTTTTCATGCCAACCTGTAGTGTACTCTGTCATCTGAAGCTTGTGGCATCACGGGAACTGTAGTTATTACTGATGGTCCTCACCGCAGTTTTATTTAGGGTGGAAATGCAACTCTCTTTCTACCACTTCTTCATCTTTGTGCTCACATTGGAGGAGAGAGGACTTCAGTCACACCAATGCCCAGCACAAAGGCCTAGGGCAACAGAGGATTCTGGGTCACCCAGATTCAGCGCACTGCAGTAGAAGATGCCAAAATGATGCTGACAGTGATGTTGATGTGGATGTGAAGTTGGAGGAAGAGCCTCCATCAGTAAAGATTCTCTTTTTAGATTTAGTGCCTCAGTGATGCTTTAGTGATAGTTCTTGTATTCTCTCGAGACACATTAGTGGCGTTGTGTGTTTTTATTGTGTAGTAAGTCATCCTGTTTCAACACTGAACGCCTGTTTCAGTAAAATATTTGGCTAACTGAGATATAACGTTTAAAACTTTTAAAAGAGATAACGTCACTGAGATTATGAGAAGTGTAAAAATCAACAAAAAAAAGACATAAATAATAAAAAGGTAATTGCGGCTTTATTTCTCACAATTGTGACTTTATTTCGTATTTTTTTATTTATTGTAATTGAGAGAGACTTTATTTCATGATTGCGACTCTATATGTCATAGTGTGACTTTATTTCTTATTTTACACATTATCATAGGATTGCCTTTTTTATTTTTATTCAAAACACTACAGACCGTTAGAAAAGCAATGTATGTATGTTTATGTAAATACTGTTAGTTTGTGTTAGTCTTTCTGGGGTCCTTTTAGTTTCCATCCCAGATCTTCAACCACTAGGCTACACTACCACATATATATACACTCACCGGCCACTTTATTAGGTACACCTGTCCAACTGCTCGTTAACACTTAATTTCTAAGCAGCCAATCACATGGCGGCAACTCAGTGCATTTAGGCATGTAGACATGGTCAAGACAATCTCCTGCAGTTCAAACCGAGCATCAGTATGGGGAAGAAAGTTGATTTGAGTGACTTTGAACGTGGCATGATTGTTGGTGCCAGAAGGGCTGGTCTGAGTATTTCAGAAACTGCTAATCTACTGGGATTTTCACGCACAACCATCTCTAGGGTTTACAGAGAATGGTCCGAAAAAGAAAAAACATCCAGTGAGCGGCAGTTCTGTGGGCGGAAATGCCTTGTTGATGCCAGAGGTCAGAGGAGAATGGCCAGACTGGTTCGAGCTGATAGAAGGGCAACAGTGACTGAAATAACCACTCGTTACAACCGAGGTATGCAGCAAAGCATTTGTGAAGCCACAACACGCACAACCTTGAGGCGGATGGGCTACAACAGCAGAAGACTCCACCGGGTACCACTCATCTCCACTACAAATAGGAAAAAGAGGCTACAATTTGCAAGAGCTCACCAAAATTGAACAGTTGAAGACTGGAAAAATGTTGCCTGGTCTGATGAGTCTCGATTTCTGTTGAGACATTCAGATGTTAGAGTCAGAATTTGGCGTAAACAGAATGAGAACATGGAACCATCATGCCTTGTTACCACTGTGCAGGCTGGTGGTGGTGGTGTAATGGTGTGGGGGATGTTTTCCTGGCACACTTTAGGCCCCTTAGTGCCAATTGGGCATCGTTTAAATGCCACGGCCTACCTGAGCATTGTTTCTGACCATGTCCATCCCTTTATGGCCACCATGTACCCATCCTCTGATGGCTACTTCCACCATGTCACAAAGCTCTAATCATTTCAAATTGGTTTCTTGAACATGACAATGAGTTCACTGTACTAAAATGGCCTCCACAGTCACCAGATCTCAACCCAATAGAGCATCTTTGGGATGTGGTGGAACGGGAGATTCGCATCATGGATGTGCAGCCGACAAATCTGCGGCAACTGTGTGATGCCATCATGTCAATATGGACCAAACTCCCTGAGGAATGCTTCCAGCACCTTGTTGAATCTATGCCACGAAGAATTGAGGCAGTTCTGAAGGCAAAAGGGGGTCCAACCCGTTACTAGCATGGGGTACCTAATAAAGTGGCCGGTGAGTGTATATATATATATATATATAAAAATATAAATATACTTAATGTAGAATCTAGAAAGTCTCTCAGCAGTGTGTTGCTAAATGCAACAAAATAGTTAGAGGCACTGAGCAATTTTGAGTTTGTTACAAGACTAAATGTTATTCCAGTAAAAAAAAAAAAAAGCACCCGCACTGACAAACAGAACATAAACCCCCCTCCTGCAATAATTGTGATCTCTCTCTGCAACAGGCTGCTGCAGGAGGAGCAGGAGACTGACGTCACTCTGTGTGTGGGTCCTGTTGTTCGGCTGAAGGCCCACAGAGCGGTGCTGCTGGCCCGAGCTCCTCACCTCCTGCTGGGAACCGAACCAACTACACCTGTCATACACCTGCAGGGGACTGAACCTGCAGCCCTCAAGGACTTCATACAGTACATAATGGCATTTCTGTATTACTCTTCTCAACCGACTTAATCAGTATTATTATTAGAAATATTATTATTGCAGTAAAGCTAAAACTGTTTTCTTTTTTTTTTTTTTATAAAAATGTTATATAAAACCATGGATCAATGTTGTACCTGTAACTGTAAAAGAGTTGAGCTATACGTGTTTGGCAAAATGTTACATGCTGCTCTTGCTATAACAGAAACGTGTACACGGATGACAAGTGCCTGGCAAAGGAAAGTACTGCCTTAAATATACACAACGACCATTCGCTGGTAGTGAACGGCACTGCTGAAGACGGCCCTGATGTTGACTCTCAGGTCAGCTCTGACTCAAGTAAGGACAACATTTCCAGTTACATTTTACTGATTTGTTTCTCTGAAGATCTATGCAGAAATCTTACTGTTCTTTACTGGAGCTGCCTGCATTATTGCTGCTCTCTATTTATGAGTAGTAATAGCCACACGATTACACGTTGTGGCTTTGTTACTCATTCTGCTTAATTTTTTTCTTTGTTTGTCAGGTTCAGAGAATTTCGAGTCAGCATCTGGGCTTGGGGCAGATCTTTTGGCTCTGTATCACATGTCCGATATGTCTGACATCAGCATTCAGGTGGCAGATAGAGTCTTCTCAGCACACAGGTAAAATCATCATCACCAGCTTTCTGCAGCTTTTGCGTAAATTTACCAATGTGCTTGTGTCTCACTTTTCTTAAATCGTTTATGTAGCAGGGTTCAGAAGTTGCAGACCATTTTGGAAATGTGGTATGTTTTTCCTTTAAACAAGGAAATAAACAGGTCTAGGATTTTGGACAAATTAAAACTTGTTGTGATGTAAAATCATGAAGCGATTTTTAACAAATTAAAAATTCTTGCATAGTAATCAAATAAGCAAATTTGTGACCATTGACCATGTCAACTCGTACAAAAGGTCAAATTTCCATTTTTATCATTGAAACACAAGATGCTTCTTGAAACATTCTCAAATTATATTGAATAACATGATCCTCAGGTTTTACCCAAACTTGTGGAGTTCAGGCAGCTTGAGTGTTGCTGTCAATAAAGCAAAAGTGGGACATACCAAATAGTTACATACATGTAAAAATGTAAAATCCTGACAATTGAAATTTACATTTACATTCGAAAAGAATGGAAATAATGCAAAATGGAAGCATTTTCACTGGTCTCTATTACATGGAGTTTCACTAATTCTAAATGTATCATTTAACCAGCTGTTCAACCGTGACATTCTCTTTCACTATAGTCTTTCAGTTTCACTTTTTGTGTGAAAATTTAACACACTATGGTTTTCCATTCAAACCCAGTGATATTACAGTAGCCTCAGTACTTTATGCAGAGATTCAACACCTGCATGAAGACACTTGTCAGCAACATTTTTTTTTTTTATGAAAACATTAAAAAATAGATGAACAGTAACAAAAATGGATTGTTACGCCACTAGCAGCACAGGCCTACTGCGGTCTACTGTTGTTTAGACAAACAGGTAGTCCCACGCTAAACTCATACTATAACAAACTGTAAAAATAATTACTTTTGTATTTTCAATAGAGATGCGCTGAAATAAAAATTCTGTCCGATATGTTAAAGGGTTAGTTCACCCAAAAAGGAAAATTATTCCATAATGTACTCAAGGATTGTACTCAAGCCATCCTAAGTGAATATGACTTTCTTCTTTCAGCCAAACACAATCAGAGTTATATAAAAAATATCCTGGCTCTTCCTGGCTTTGTAATGGGAGTGAATGGTATCACTTTTTTTTTTTGAAGCCCAAAAAAGTGCATTCATCCATCATAAAAGTAATCCATACGGCTCCAGAGTGTTGATAAAGACCTTTTGAAGCGAAGTGATTTTTGTAAGAAAAATATCCATAATTATAACTTTATAAACTGTAATCACTATCTTCCGGTAATGTCCGTCCATGAGATAGATGGCCATTTACTCGTTTACTCGCAAGTTGGAGCTAAACTCTACTGGACCGTGGCCTTCCTGGACCGAGTTTGGACACCTCTGCAATATAGCTTGATACTGATTTAAAAAATCCCCAGTGTCAGCCGAAATAAGGTACTGTGCATCTCTGATATTCAGTGCTGGATGGTCTGACTTAAGTGGAACCAGCTAAAGTTGCTGTATCATAAATTCCCAGGAGGTGGCAGAACTACAGTTTCTCCTACGTGAAACAGCAAAGTCAAAGCTAATCCGAAAGAAACTAACTGAATATTATCTGACATTGAAAACCAAAATACCAAAAATGATATTTTGCATACAACACACCAATTTGTAGTGATTGCTGATGATATTAGCAATGCGACGCATGTACGATCGTGTTATGAAGATGAATTACAGCATAGTTGTATTTGTGTAGTTTTCTGTCATTATCTTGTAAGCACCTTTGTTTGGGGCTGCAGAGGTTAGAGCAGTTGCCATGACCTGTTACTATAGCAACAGGCTCTCCGTCATCATCATCATCCATGAGCTGCATCTCTGCGGGGTTAGGTTGTATGGATGGAGAGAGAGGGAGACATCTGCAGTCCTGATCAGTATGTCAGGCTTGAGGTGACTGCTGCAGATCTGTCAGTCTCACTGCAGGATACATACACCAGAACAGCACTGGTCATTTGCACAGGCGTGCTAGTTACTTATGACTTCACACATGGCTAGCTTATGAATATTATAATTTAAAATCCCGGTTTTAAATAGATCATTTATTAATATGGATTTTGCTGACTTGAAACTGAAATGATAACAGTACAATTAGAAATACAAAATTCATTTAAACAATTTCTATGGCAAATTGAATTGCTTTATTTCAACATAAAGCAACTTAAACATATTTTAGAGGGAGAAATAAATCCTATTAGCCAGTTAAAGTGCTTAATAAATAAACTTGTGACATGTTTAATTTTACAACAACATCCACAGCTGCTGACAGTCCCTGACTTTTGTAGGTCAGTCGATAAATGTGTGTCATCAATTGAATACTGTATAAAATATGACTTGTTGGATGTGTGGTATTTTCTCTTTGAATGTTAGACGTTTAGGCTGTCCTAATGTAACCAAAAAATAGAACCCAAAATAGCATGTATGTCAAAAGCAGAATTTTGTTTTATAATTTCAATGGAAATGGAAAGCTGCGGAACGAAATGCTCTACCGATGGAGATGTTTCCTCTGAAATAGATCCATCACTGCCATCAAGTGAAAGTAACTACAAAATTGACCATGACTAAAAGGCCCTTACTGTATAAGACCCCTATTAGCAGGGGCATGCAGATCTGTCCGAATAATAATGGGTTATACCATTTTTTTTTGTAAGCGTTATTCTTAGCCTCCCTCAGTCATCACTCTTAGAGCTGCAGTTTGTTCTGAGAGGAGACCAGAAGTGACACGTTGAAAAATAATAATCTATTTATAGCGAATGTTTATGGCAGATAGAGAATAATGGGGCTGTTGGTTGAGAGAGATAAAGGAGGACTGAGAGGGAGAAGATGAGGGACATAAGAGAGCGTAAGACTGTAGATCATATGAAGTGTCACCAGCTGTGTCTAACGCTGCCTTCAGGGAAGTTTTTATTTGTGGCTTCGGAAATCGTAATTATTTAATTAAGAGCAAAGGATGTGCATTTAGTGTGTAATTTATGTGTTATCCATATATTTTATCATTCTTGTTTTGCCTCAGAGAATAATGGGACATGTAGTTTGATAGCACAAGCCTGTTGCCTCATAAACCAGTTAGATAATTTTTTGTCTTTATGCCTTTATGCTATTTTTATGCTTTTATGCTATTAACATTGTTTTTAATCCGGTTCTTATAATTTGTTAAAAAGTACATAAAAGTTTATTTTATAATCAACATGACTTGAAGATCCTCTTAAATGCATTTTTTTTTCATTTCTGAATTAAAATAGATTTATGTAATTTTATATATATATATCACAGGCTGATTTTATATATATATATATATATATATATATATATATAAATATATAGTTGTATCACCCTGACATTTTTACTTAATGCTACATGTATTATCCTGATATCACAATGAAGAAAAAACTTCATTGACATGCAATGCCATTACCACTTTCAAGGCCCATAAAGGTAGTAAAGACATTGTTAAAATAGTCCATGTGACTACAGTGGTTCAACTTTATTCACTACATGGCACAGGCTGATTTGTTCCACCTGCAGCCATTGAGCTTGCTAATCAACATTTAAATGGTTTGGTTCAGTTTTTGCTGTTAGAAAGTATTGCAGTATGCTATCAGAGACCCTCTACCTCCCCCTGCTCCACCTGTATAGATCTGCTATGGGTAATGTCATGTATGCTATCATTATGTGCTACATGCTCACAGCGGCGTGTCTCTGAATGTATTGGCAGTAGCAAGTCTCCATACTTACTCTGCAGCAGCATACCATCAGATCTGATCCACCAAGATAGCAACATTTAAAACTGTTTAATAATGACAATAAAATGATAAACAGTAAGTTTTTCAAACCCATATGAAATCCACATGATTAGTCAAGTCAAATTTATGTATATAGCACTTCATACAATACAGATTTTCTCAAAGCAGCTTCACAGTAATAAGAAAATAGTATTAATGTTACAAAGTTCTTGAATTTCTTTAATTATGAAACAAATACAATTTTAGCTGTAAAGCAGCTCTAAAAAGACAATAGTGTCAATATTCAGCTAAATTTAGTTCAATGTTGATTTATTCAATTTAGTTAAATAACTAAAAGAGTATATTAAATTATGCAATAAGCTTAATTCAGCTATAAGCAGCGTCACAGACAGCAATAGTGTCATTATTCAGCTCAAGTCAGTTCAGTGTTCAATGTTGCAGAGTTCATTAATTATGCAACAAATTCAATTCAGCTATAAATCAGCTCTAAGACATTTGCCATTACAAAGAGTACTTTTCTAAGAACTTGGAACTTGTCAGCCATCGGGATGTGTCTGTGAAGGTAATCAGCTCACTAGGTTTGAGTCAGAGCCACAGTCATCACCATCTTCTAAAATATTCAACAAACCATTACATCTTCCTCCCTCCATTTCAAAGTCCTCTTTATATTCTTGATCTTTTTTTCTACATGCCCAAACATATCATTCAGTGAATAACACACACAAGCACGCACACACATTTTTCCTGTGGCTGTTTTACAAATATTGATCCTGGGCAATGTGGCGTGAAGCGTGTGTGAGTGATAGGGGAAACTGACGTTGTCTGTGTGTATGTTTTTTTTCCTTTCCCACAGGGCCATTCTGTGTGCACGCTCGCAGTATTTCCGAGCGATGTTGTGTGGCAGTTGGATGGAGAGTTTGCGTCAGTGTATCACTCTGCAGGGGTAGGTTATGCCGTATAACCATCAAAACGGGACAAATCACTGCAACTCATCATCTAGCCTCCAAAGACATAACACACATACACAAACACATAGTACAAATACAAGTATCAAATACTCTGTCATGTTTAGTTTTTGTCATCATTCAAAGGTATGTAAAGGATAATGTACAGCAAGCCAGTCATTATATTAATCTCTTTGTAGCTCTTGCTGTTTCCTTTTTTTACCGGTTCCGGGTACATGTGTACAGTTGTGGTCAGAATTATTGGCACCCCTGGTAAATATGATCAAAGATGGCTGTAAAAATAACTCAGCATTGTTTATCCTTTTGATCTTTAATTAAAACAATTCGCAACAATTTTAACCTTTCATTGAAGTAAAAGAATTGAAAGTAGGGGGAAAATCACATTATGAAATAAATGTTTTTCTCCAAAACTGCAAAACAGATTTTTTTCTAGTAAGATATCTCTGAGAGCCTGGGACATCCTGCGTTTAAGATGACAAAGCAGGGCTTTAATTTAAGAAGATCTATAGTTCATATATTTATCTTTTAATAATGTTTTAGATTGAACCTGTGGCCCTTGTGCTTGCAGTCCATGTCCTTTAAAAATCCAGACTCTGTGTGTTAAGTTAATAGGTCATGTGTGTGATCTGACTTGTCGCAGAGTTCAGCGTGAGTTCTTAGTCAGACCTTGTCCCGGAGGAGGATATTCCAGCCACCAGCAATCAATTATTAATTGCTCAGTCTGTGTCTGGGAAAACCAGGAGAATGTGTGTAGTGTTTCATGCTGGGCAGTTCAATCCATGATGTGCATCAAAAATAGACTTTTGATTTAAGTAAGTAAGTAGACTTTATTAATCCCATACCGGGGAAATTAACTTATTACAGCAGCTCCACAATAAAAAAAAAACAAAACAAGTACGGTAAAACACATTGAATAAAAATACTAGATAGAAGTAATAGATATAATAAGTGCTACATAGTGTTGTTACTGCAATTAAAGTGTCTAACTGCTGTTGGAAGGAAGGACCTGCGGTAGCGCTCCTTCTTGCATTGAGGATACACCAGTCTGTCTATTCTAAAACCGCATTTAGCTTTTACTATACTATTGTCAAAACAAAATATTGAGAAGAATAAAATACATAATGCTGATTTTTCTGAGCTCTGTGACACAAAACGTAAATGCCCTTTTATTTGATTAATTTTTATAGTTTTTTCATTTTGATAATTCATTCTTCATTAGAAGATTTAGGCGGCCTACATCTTTGGATCTTTTTCTCATAGTTTGATCTCTGATTCTGGCTGTTCTACAAGTGTAGGTGAAGAGTAGGTAGTGCCAATGATTGAATCTAAATTGTCTTTGTTTTGCCAGGCATTGACATAAACTAGTAGCCTGGTTAAAACCAGACCATTCTCAGTTGTAACTGAGTTATGGTCTGGCAAAGTGTCATAGACAAATCCTTTCCAGAGGGGCGTCACCAACGGATGTCGCGGATAGACCTAAAACCAATCAGAGCGATGAAGGAGATGACGTATGTAGAGCGATGGAGAAACATCTCCGAGTGTTGTTCTTTGCTCGGTTTTTAACAAAAAGGAAACGTTCAAATCGCTTAAAACAGACGCGATAGCTGATTCGAACGAGTGATGTTCGACGGCGGCATCCATCTTTGTAATATAGGCTACAAAATCTGCTTCAAAATCCCAGCGCTGTCGTCATCGTGTAAAGCCCGCCCCAACGTTTCTGACTGGTGCCTCGATTTCGACGGATTGGAAATGGGCTTGAATGAGCTCTTTGCCAGACTAACTTTCAGAGCAAATCTAAATTTGCCGGAAGTTGTCTGGGTTTTCCCAGGCTAATAAACTAGACTGTTCACCTAAACTTTGTTTTTCAATAGAAATTATGTCAAAACAGAACTGAAAATTGTGATCTGTAAATAATTTCATGGGGTCTATCACAGTAAATTTTCAAAAACACATATTGGTATTTATTAATCTTAGTTAATTATATTTGTAACATTTTAATATCATTTTTTATTTAATATTATAGGTGCTGTATGTAAGAATGGGTTTGAAATAGGTACTGCAGTCCAAATTCAAAATATCAGAGACCAGAGTTGCCAGTTTTAGGACACGCAACAGAACGAGCGCGATTGACGACGAAAACCGAGGAGACTTAGTTAATCGGTTGATTTATACGCGTTTTAATATGCTGTCTCGTTCATAGAGATTTTTAGATGGATACCGAGGCTTTTTAGGTTGTGTGGAATCTGCAATCTCTGACCAGTTTGTTTGCTCGTTTCCAAGGCTGCGATACGCTGTTTCCTGCCAACTGGCATCCCGGGGTGTCGAAATACTTTGGGGTGAACACAGGCAGTGGGCAAGACCACACAGACCAAAACAAAACTCGACTGACAACACAGAACCTGTAAAATAATAAGTAAAATAACTGGCTGTAGAAGTGTTTTTCAAAAGAAACACACCCCTCCCTTCATTGCTCCTCCCCCAAACATGAACATGCTAGTATGCAAGAAAGGCAACGCCTAACAGCTCAAATGATTATGGATGAATCAGCTGTGATTCAACAACAACAATATTTTGGTTCTGTAAAAGGTCTCGGGTTACGACTGTTACCCTTGTTCCCTGAGAAGGGAACGAGACGCTGTGTCATAGTATTGACGCTTTGGGGACGCCTCTTTGTTATTGCGTCTGAAGCATGAAGCATGTCTTTCTGAAGTCTGAAGCATGTGTGAAATCAGTCCAATGCCGAAACAGAACGTCACAGGGTGACGTCATGATTAGGAAACTATAAAAGCTTATCCAGTATGGCTGGCGTTAGCTTCAAAAGAGCCAAAGCAACTCAATCAAAGGGATGCAGGAAGTATGACAAGGCGATGCAGCGTCATGTTCCCTTCTCAGGGAACAAGGGTTACAGTCGTAACCTAAGATGTTCCTTTTCGAGTGAACTTTGGCTGCCTCATAGTATTGACGCTCGCTCTGGTAACGATAATACCCAAACCGCCATGCTTACAAGTACCTGTCTGTGTGAATACTGCGAGCACACCTAAGACAAGAGCACATTGTGAAGTCCAAATCATAAAATCTTACAAATGTGAGCGGAGAGGACCAGCCTGCCACCTGAAACTTCTCGATGACCGTATTTATAGCATTGCCAAAGAGGCCAGAAAAAAAAAAGTCTTTCTCTTTGATGTCAGACAGATGTAACCAGAGATGCCTCTCTGTGGCTGCCATAGAACGGCTGATGGCTCTGGCCGTCTCTTTGGTGGCCCGGAGAGACAAAACCGTGGCCTGATGTAACTCTTTAACTGCGTCGACTCGGGCCCCACCCCCTTGCCTTCATCAAGGTCTCTTAGCAGGTCCCCCTGATACGTCTGCAAGATGGCCATCATGTGCAGACGCGCTCATCCAGTTTGTTTGTAGGATGAGCGCCCTGCTTCTCAATCGACCAATTCTCGGTTTAATTTAGCCACGGCACGGGTTCTTACTCGGGGGATAGAGATGGCGAGTTCTCAAAATCCCCCGCTTCGATGCTCAGCACATCCAACTCCTCATAGCTGGACAGCTGAAGCACCTGGCTCTCTCCCCGGGCGGAAGAAGCCACAGCACCGGCTTCTGATCCCAGCAAGAGAACGCTGGATCCCTGGGGGCCAAAGACTCTCCAAGGATCACAGATGGAGAATTGCAGAGATTAGTTGAGTCTTGGGGTCAGAAAGCCTTAAAAAAAAGAAGAACAAGAAGCCACAGCACAGGCTTCCGATCTCAGCAAGAGAGCACTGGATCCCTCGGTTAAAGGGAGAGAAAAGTCTCTAACCCCTTCTCGAGATCCATCTGCGAACCCCACAATCTCAATCGCCGCGCTGCCTCAGCAGCAGCAGGGCCAGAACCATGGGGAACGCAAGCCTGAACACCCTTGCTCACCATATTAATGTGAATTATGATTCTGCACTATATTGGGACAGACAACACTAAATAAGACACACAGTTTCAACACAGAGCACTTGCTGAGGAACAGAAGCTAACGGCGGTCATTCAGGATGTGCTTTCTTGGTCATGACGTCACCCGCCTGTGACGTTCTGTTTCGCCATTGGACTGATTGTAACTGTAGATTGAGTTTGTAATTTATCAAAATAATCTTAATGTGTGTCTGTTTTTTGTTTTGTCCATCAATCAGTCTGGGTCCAGATGAGATGGAGATTCTGCTTCATTTCATGTACGGTGCCATCCTAGACTTCCCACCAGGAACAAATGTCAGGTAAGCACGCTCTGTAGTGACATTTCCTATCTTCCAATGTGATAAATACAAAAATGCAATGGCTTTGTCAGATTTTACTCAAATGTTAAGATGTGTGTGTTTGTCTCTGATCTTAGTCAGGTTGTGTTAGCAGCAGACATGTTGGGCCTGGAGGGGCTAAAAGATGTGGCCGAGATGGTCCTGACTCGGGACTACTGCCGCTTTTTTCCCAAGGTAAGACCAGAGGGAGGAGTCACGGTTTACACATTCAGTCCATTTGAGGTGAGGAGTGTAAATAGTCCTGTTAAACAGTGAGTCTGTTGTCATATTGTGCCAATAGTACTATCATCTTGTCGTTTATTACCCTTTAGGGAAACATTATGTGATTTGTATTTGTGAGCGAGTAAAGTCTGGGCATTGGTTCAGCTTTTGTAGAGCATTTAATTTGTCAGCCAAAAGTACATGGCCCTATCCTTCTGGTGTTGCTCCAAAAGAAGAATCCTCCCATTTAAGTTCCTCAAATGCAGGTGTAACATATTTTTTTTCAGGCATTTTTCTACTTCTCTTAGAATTACTGTAGAGAATTACTGTACTGAAGTACTGCAGCAGCAGACTCAACTCATGTTTACACAGTAACTGCAGATCATCTTGAACATGCGCTCACTGATACAAAAGCAGTAGTGGGAGGCAGAGGAAGTCAGGAAGTGTTGTGTTTGACAGCCCTCTTGCAATTCGTGAAGGGTTGTTTTGTTTGTGCTTCGAGTCTCTCATTCTTACTCCCACCTTTCAAAAATCCTTTCAGACCAGTCCAGTTTGTGTCCTTTTAGCCTGTAATTTCATCCTACTGTACACAGAGATGAAAGAGGAATGCATTCAGTCCCCCTCCTCTTTCAAAATAATTATCATCTGTTTAAGTGTAGGAAAGATTCAAGGTATGCTGAGGAATTAGTTTCCCCCCTAAAGAAATGAATAGTACTTTTGACAGATTTAGACTAGGACTGTCAATCAATTAAAATATTATATTTACACACTACGGTTCAAATATTTGGGGTCGCTAAGAGTTTTTTAGAAATAAGTCTCTTATGTTAACCAAGGCTGCCTGTATTTGATCCAAAATACAGTAAAAACACTTGTTAAATATTTCTACAATTTAAAATGACTGTTTTATTCATTTTATCTATTTCAGTAAAATGTATTTTATGCCTGGGATGATAAAGCTGAATTTTCAGCAGCCATTACTTAAGTGTCACTCTTCTAAAATCATTATTGTGCTCTGTTTACAGTTCTTATTATTATCAATGTTTAAACAGTGCTGCTTAATATTTACGTGGAAACTGTGAAACGGTTGTCAGTATTTTTTAATGAATAGAAATTTAAAAAGAGCAGCATTTATTTGAAATTACTTGGGGTCTTAACTGTCTTTACTACTTTAATAGTCTTTACTGTCACTTTTAAAGTTTAATGTGCCCTTGCTGAATAAAAGGATTCATTTCTTTAGTTTATTTCAAAACATTTAATGCATTCTTTAATATATATATATATAGTTAGTATATATTGCAAATGCAATATATACTATAGCGAGAATAATTTAATAACAAAATGACATTGCTCGCACTTTATGGACACAATGTACAGTATATATATAAATCTTATTACGTCTTAACACCTAATTCAATAATTAGGTCCATAATTCAATGTTCCAGGCTTGAATGCTTTTGATTCTATTTTACAAATCGTATATTTCTACTTTTTGCCTACTACATGTGTCAAGATGCAGTTTTCCTCTGTTATTCACATTTACATTTATTTGATTTACGGTGATTCACTCGTGGGTGTTATTTCACTTGTTTAGCTTTAATGATCATGCAATTTCATCATACAAAGAGTACCAAATGGCTTTAATTCCCCCTTATTATGAAGGATTTATAAATAACCCATAAAGAGGTATTTCTTCATTATTTACTGGTTATCAGGTGCTTTGCAATGGTAACATTTGAATAAATAATCTGTGTTATCCAAAAGTTTGCAAATTGTAGCTTTCAGGAAGTTGTTCAAATTAAGAGTGATTTAAGTTGTATGAAATGAAAGTAAATTCACCAGGTCAAGTAGCTGAACTCCATACTGTAAATTGGAGTTCCAGGCTATTGAACCACTAAAGACAGTGAGATGAGGTGTGAATATCCTTTTTCTCATTTTCTGCAGCCTGTTGATGGAGTTCAGAGATCCATACTTGAGTGCCTTGCCATTACCCACTCTATAGGCCTGCACGATCTCTACAGCTCCTGTGTGAGGTGAGGCATTTTCTGCACTTCTATGGATGCTTCTGCTTTTAATAATGGTTTTAAAATGGCTTTTCTGATTGTACTGCCCCGTTAGAGTTCTTTCCTCCATCTACTGTCATATGCATACTGCACAGTGCAAATGAATCACTAAATAATAAATGACTAAATAAATCAATAAATAATACATGTTCCAAAATGCTTTCTATTTCTGAGGTTATGCTTCTGTCCAAATGTGGATGCAATCAGTTTTGCAGATATTTATTCAACATTTAAAACAAACCCATTTTTGAAGTCTTTTCAGTTTCACGTCAAATGTTAATATTTGGCATAACAATTCAAAAAAACAAAAGCAAACAAACATTTGACCAGAGTGGACGAGCATTTGCATCAATAGAGCAAAGTTTTATTTTTGGTGAGTGGGTGGATTTTGTCGTCAAACAATATACTGAAGGCTATTTTGCCAACTGCCTTTAAATATCAAAGACAAAGAAATAATCTTGAATATAGACAGACATAGAGCTGCTGTTGTCTTTGAACACCGGATTGTTGTTAATACATACAGTTAACTTATAAGAAAAGAAAAAGTTTACTGTCAAGCGATTAAAAAAATTAACTCATTAATCATACATTTTTCTGTAATTAATCGTGATTAATTACAGCTAATATAAAAGTTTTTCATATGTTTTTATATTGTAATAATTTCACATTTAATCTTCAAATTAATGTAGAAACAACATACAGACAGTATATTTAAAATATTTGATCTAACAGGTAGGAAATATCCATTAATTGAATAAAGTTGTCAAACACTTCATAGTCTTCACTGCATAATTTATATTAAAGCTACTAAAGTTATACAGTTAAAAGCAGTGAGTGATTTTCTTTTGTTCTTTGATTAATATTAATGACAGACTGCAGCAGGTTTATTAGGCTGCTGTCACTTTAAACCTGACGCACATGACACAGAGCTGACACATTTTCTCACAACTCTTTACGTCCATTTAAGACTTTATTTAACTCATTTAAGACTGTGCTCATGAGAATACTCAACTCATTTTGTGTGGTTTTTGTCTGTTCAGGCGCTAAAGAAAACTCAATATCGCTGGTGCGCTGTACCGCACTGAGTTCTCTTTTATGTCTTATCGTGCTTGAATGATTTAAAAGCATTTGCAGGAATAAGAGCGTGGTCATGTAATGTAACGCTAGCTAAAGGATGACGTAAAAACGGATGCTGTGTTAATTGCGTTAAATATTTTTAAAGCGTTAAACTGGAAAAAATACGGCCTAGAGGTCCTCGTCCAATTGTTGACGTACAGTCTAATATACCAAGAGCGAAGTCAATATTTGTTGGTACAATACAGGGTGCAAATAAAAAAACGGAACAAAACTTGCGTTGGGTCAAGCAATTTATTTGACTTGCTGTAAAATAAATGTGCTAGTCACCAGACAGAAGCAGATTATGCTGTTTATGCTCACTCGCACAGAATCATTTCTGTTTTTCTCAATACCTCAAAACATACAGTATGTGAAAAAAAAACTGTGCAAACCAGCGAAAAAATCCATTTTACAAAAATTTCCACCAGCTCTTTATGACCATCTTTACCAAGTGTGGATTAAATTGATTTCTTTAAATCATTAAAGTTTGAACTTTAAACAATAGGCAAGCTCATTTGACTGTCTTGCATCCTATATTTCTCTAGCAGAGCTGTTCGTGATTGCCACATGGCAGACCAACTGAAAAGTATTTGCACCCTGTATTGTACCAACAAATATTGACTTCGCTCTTGGTATATTAGACTGTACGTCAACAATTGGACGAGGACCTCTAGGCAGTGCAAAAAAGATTGATATGAATGAAAAATTATTTCCATCTTTAGATTGTGGTGGCCATGAAAAAAAATATTTCCAATACAATCGTTCCTCTATTTTACTCTAATTTTGTACTGGGAACACAGGTAGATGTAAAAATGAATGACTAAATGTCCAAAGATTCCAAAGAAATCTTTGACCTTTAATCATTCCTTACCATCGCCATTACTTAATTACCCAACTCTGTCATTTAATTATTTTTGCTCTAAACTCAGTGCACTGCGGTAAACCAGCTCATGGAGGCGTGTGAATGTAGGTCGGGATTTTTCCAGTGCCTCAGAGACAGAAAGAGAGAGACTGTGTGTGTGTGTGTGTGTGTGTTGTTTCTCTGATGTTTTGCCGCCGCCTCGGCTGCGGGTAGGAGGGTGAAGAATCACGCATCAGGATCTGATGGTATAAGACCAGCGCAGCACTGCTGCTTTCAGTTCAGAGCCAGTCCAGCATCAGCTGAACCTACTGTCCTTGTGTTACTAACCTAAATCATTGGAATATTCAATCCAAAAATAACAATTATTTTGTTGCACACGTATTTTTAGCATGAATATTTATCAGAATATTTGGGCTGCTCTTTGTTATACTGACACAAATTTATGCTGATAGTTACACTCCAAAAAGGAGAAGACACAATAAAAGACACTTCTAAAGTTGTACAATAGCTTTGTGAGAGGAACATTGTTTTTTTACTGATAACTTTGACACTTCTATGGTAGTTTTGTGTCTGACATTTTTTCGAGTCTGACAGAATAAATAACTTCTTTACTTGTTTAACAAAAGAAAAAAAACTACAGGTTTGAAATGACACAGGTGGGGGAAATAATACAAAACTGCATTTGTAGGAATTGCTAGGAAATAATTTTGGACTTTTGCTGTAAAGAGAGAATGAAAACCGCCTACACTCATGGATGTGCGTTTCAATCCACAGATGGGTTGCTGAGCATTTCGTGAAGTGCTGGTCAGAAAGGAATTTTGCCCTCATTCCTCCAGAACTACAGAAAGATTGCCTTAATACAGTCAGCAAAAACATGGTGTGTAAAATATGTTTTCTATTTTGGTGGGGTCTTCCCTTTGACTTTGTTTATATTTTGAGCTAATAATATTTTCTGACCCCTTAATCTTACTGTAAAACTATTTCTCACAATACTTTAGTATTTTTATACTGTATCCCGTTTTCCTCATGGGAAACAACATAGACAACAATTTTTGTTCACTGTCTTTCTGCTGCTGTCTGCAACTAATTGCACAATAAGACATTGATGAGATGAGCTGTGGCCTCTGTTTTGAGGATGGCCATTGACTAAAGAGCAATTATAGGTCATGTGTGTGTGTGTTTGGCAAAGCCTCGAACAGCTCATTAACTTCATCCATAGTCTGGCAGTCCCCTAAATTTCTCACTCACACAGACCTTCAGCGGCTGCCAAGTGTAGTTGTAACATTGGGCTTTCCCTCTCTTGACTTCCAGCCTTGGTGTAAACCACCGCTGAAGCATATTGGATTACACTCGGAAATTTGCAGTCACTAACAGTCCTGCCACTATGTGTCAGAACTATGGAAGATGGATCTATGAATGAGAATGTGTATTTCTGGTTTTCAGACGGTGCAGAGTGTCGTATCTGTGCTGTGTGGCTGCGAGCAGCTGATCGGGAGCCTGCCGGAGGTGAAATGGGCCAAGCAGGTGCTGAGTCTGGCCAGCGAACTGCAAGAGGAGTGTCTGCAGATGATTGTCACACACCTGGCCCAGGTCACACACACCGCTGCCTTCCACGATCTCCGAAGGGTACGACCAATCGATGAAGTTTAGACTTAAGATATAAGATGTCTTGTCAGCTATGACCGTCAGACGTGTACTGTTTCAGAGAGAGGAGTTTACACGTGACCCCACTCTACTGAGGAAGGTGTGCATAGCTGTGCGGGAGGGTGTTACTGTGGAGAACTGCTGTGACCTCTTCACTGCTGTCAGTCGGCTGAGTGGGGACCCGAGTGAGGTAGACATGATCACAGAAGACCAAGCCAATCAGGAGGAAGTGGAGGTAAACAAAACAGGACACTAAAAGCCAGCATTTCATTACAGTTCATTTAGTAAATTAATCGTTTATTTAAACTGATCTTAACAGAGCCTTTTAATCAGTCAGTGCAATAAAGTTGAGGTCAGTTTTACACATTCATTTAGTGTGATTTATCATATTTATTTTAATAGTAAAATGTTTATATTAATTATAAAAAGTGATAATTAATATATTTATATTATATTTCTCGATCAGAGTTTACATGGATATTGAGACATCATCTTTATCTAAACAAACACACACACCATGAGAGGCCATGACTGTATTGTGAATGCAGTCACAGCTAAAGGAAATTGTTAAGCTATCTTTCCATTATCTCTGACAATCACATACGATTGTTGCATTTTCAGAACTGCCTGTTGTATTATGGTCAATATATAAAGTAAATGTGAGGAATACATAATTAGAATTCATCTTGCATGGATTTGCATATACAAATATGTTTACTTTTGGATTTACGTCTGGAATTACAGTATGCACATATGTTTTTATTTCTAGAATCTCATTTCCTATTGAAACAGGATATTCAAAGTATGGTGGCACTTCTGTCCATTGCGTGTTAAATTCCAGAATTGTGGTCGGATGTTTGAATTTAAGTTGTTGTAAAAGTAAGAGGGGTTTGTGACATTGACTGAAAAGAACAGCCGTTTCAGTTATTAATTTTTGAAGACAACTTATTAATTATTCACAAATTATAAATTGAAGACAACTTTTTTTTTTTAAGTTGGGATAACATGCACTAATAAATATATGCATTAAAATGTACATGTTTATTTGAATCTTTTAACTGAAGCAGTGATGTAGTAATTAATATACTTGATGAATAGATCCCATATGCTTCAAGCATTCCTGCAGCTGAGCACTTTCCCGTGTGTTTAATGTACAAAGTGCTTCATTTGATCCTGGGATTTAAACTCGCTATAATGTTCGTGTCCATGTCCAGGCCTGGGCCGGATTACTGTAAAGTGACACTACAAATAGAAAAGCTCATAGTAAACAACCTCACTTCTCATGCATGCTCATGGCCTCGCTCTGTCATTTTATGTTTTTCTTTATTTCTCTCTGGCCATCACTGTCGCTTCCTGTCTCTTTGTGATTTAATTCACATCCCAGGGGAAATAGCAGAATGGATTAGTCTGAGAAAGACCAAGAGTCATGGGTGTGGCCATGTCTAATCTGGCTCCATGTCCATTATAGAGAGAAGCAGGGAGGGGCAGGGGGAGAAATGAATTGCGGATGGAAAGACTGAGGCAGGATCTGAAAGATACAGAGGTTCTTTTTTTTTTAATGAACATTCGATGCAGAAGGCGTGAACACAAGCCTCTGCTAGTGACATCATCCATTTAGCTGGAGAGGATCCTGTTAACGGTAGAGGGAGGCAACGGCAATCGTTGCCAAGACAACCAGCCTTTGAAGCAGCTGCTGATTCGCTCCTCTTCTCCTGCTGTTGTATCCACCCTCCCTCCTTCGCGCTCTCTCTTTCTCTGACTGACTCGCTCACCCTCTCTCACTCATTCTGTCCCTCTGGTAGCCATTCAGGCGTGAGCTGTGTTTGCTGCGCACGAGGCTCTGGACCTTCCTGTTTCAGTCCTTCTTTGCAGTGCGGCACACTCAAGGATGGGACACTCTACAACCCAGATATCGGGAAAAAATACTTGCAGGTAAGGAGGCAAATGAGAAAAGGTAAGACTTTAGCAATAGCAACAGAAAGAGGAATGGAAATTAAATGTAAATAATGTGGGAAGAGAAGTGCAGAATAAATCAGAGGAGAGAGAAGAACATAAGGCAGACTGCGCTTGTGAGGAGGAGGAAGGGGGTGTTATTTTATTTATTTATTTATTTTAATGGTCCAGTGCAGTGATGAAGAGCCCTCCTTTGCATGGATAGTGGGTTGCCAGTGCTGGTGAGAGAAACCCTGCTGGATAACCTCCAGCTCCTGTCAGTCCATCAACACAGCCATCAGAACGGATCTTTTTAATATGATCCTGTGATGCTTTGACCATTAAGGCTAGAATACTCCAAACACATCAAAACATTATTTCCAGAGGGGGCTGGGGAATGGGGTCCACAATTAGATACAATGGATTTTGTGTTGTTCTATTCTTCAAGTGGTAACATATATGCTTGTGCATAAATTATGCAATGCTTTGGGTGTCAAGATCATGCTTACATTCTGCTTTCTAAAGATTCCACCACATATCCAAAGCATCCGCTGTGCATCAACGAACACAAACACTCAAGCTGCATTCCTTCACAGGAGATATTTGATCCATGTTTTGGATTGTTTTCTGGTATGACAGCAGTGAAATCAGAGCTCAGTTGTTTTGCTGGGAAGAAAGGCTAGATCTTAGTTTTTTTACGATGATATTAAAGATGCTGTGGATAAGCTGTGAGATGATCAAAGGCTAGATCTGCGCTGTCTATCTGAGATGAAGGAGTAGGAAATCAGTGGCTCTCTGCAGAGCTGCACTGCCTATTTTACTGATTGGGGTTGTGACTGATTGTAAGTATGCAAGTATGTGCGTGTCTGATTGAGGAAATGTTTGGCAAATGTTGATCATGCAGGAGTGGATGTTCTAATTAAACTGAAGCTGTCTGTAATCTAAAATTAGTTTTTATTTTCTTCCTCCCTCCGCCAACCCTCTCAGCTGCTCTTGATAAAGGAGACTGCAGAAGGCTTGGAAAAAAACCTGTGCTCACCAGCTCCCAGGTGATCTTTTATTCTGTTACTTATTTTGGTGAAAATGTGAGAAATGTTTGGCTAAAGACAGATAAATTGTCCCCAGGTTGATTAATCAGCCAATATTTGATCATTTTGAGATTGTCTGCATCAACCAATATACAGATTTTTTTTTCTTTAGTAAATGTATACAAATCAATGTTATTTTACTGTAAATGCAACAAATTGTATTGTGTATTCATTCGTATTATTTCAGCCAACCTACTTTCTAGATATCTGTATCTGCATCAGCCATTAAAAAAAAGAAGGTTTTCTTTTACTGATAGACAAGCTGATTGAACTGACATTAAATGGGTGTTAGATGAGTGCGGCTAGACTTACCTGAGCCGCAGCTGAATGTGAGCTCACCTACACACCTTACGGTTGATTCAGGGAATCTGTGCTGCAGAATTACTGATCCTGAAAACATAGTTGGATTGGATCTGAGAATTATGTTCTTTAAGAGGATGTGAACATCTGTTTATTTAATTTTTTTGGTCTTATTATTGAGCTACAATAAAAAAAAAAAAATGTATATATGACCTAAGTGAGATGGATACAAAGACATTGGGCTAAGGAAACAGCTGTCCTTAAGTTATGATTTTCTTTGACTTGCAAGAATATACTTTTTAGCCTTTAATCCAAAGGTCATGGTATAGTGCTTTGTTCCTATATATTTGAGATTACTGTCAAATGGGTTGCTGATCTGATTAATATTGTACAAAGCCATCATGGTCTTTCATTCTCTCTCCATATCTCTCACTGCAACAGAAACCTACAAAATGCCTCTCGGGCACTTCATCTCCATGTGATAGCCCTACTCATCGTCCCATTAAGGTATCACAGGGTCCACGTGCTTCCCCTGCAAGATCTGTAGCTGCAGCATCAGGCACCATGAAGTCTGATGCTCTAGGGCCAACAGCTCACACGGTTCCTTCTGGGAAAACAAAATCTGGTAACAACACCTCACTTGGAAGCAAGAATGATAAAATTAAGCCAACTCACACGCCAGCTAAAACCAAGACTTCATCTACTGTTAAACCAGTATTGAATGGCACTGGTGGTGGTGCTCCTCGGGAGAATTCCTCCACTTCAGGTGCCCGTAGTTCACCTACAGGGAAGACGGTGCTGGACAGGAAGCCAAACCCAGGAGCAAGGCCAAAGTCTTCCTCTGCTGGGTCTGATCTCTCAACAGGCCATGCTAAAGGAGTAAAATTGCCGAAGAACACAATGTCAGGGAAAGATCTGCCTCAGGAATCAGCCAGCAATGCTCAGAATACTCCATCTAACTCTGGCAGCACCTCACCAGACAACAGCGCTGGGAGTCCTCGCAACAATGGCCACAGTACTCCAACAGGTGAATTTACCTAGAATTTACCTTCACACCACACACATCCCTTAATGATACTCTACTTCATCTCAAGCTAGTCTCTTTTTTTACTGTGAAAAGTGGAAGCTTCCAGCTCAAATGTTTTTGGCTTCGCTTCCAGCAAAGTCAGATTTAGTAAAACTGTCTAAGGAGAAAATCAGCCCTAAAAACAGCACTATAATTAAATAAGCAAGACAGAGCTTTAGGTCCATGGAAGTCAAGAAGCTATCCTTAGTTTCTCAGATTACCCCCAATTGTTTACTCTTCTGTCACTGTAAGTAAAAGCTACAGTATGTATGTGTAAAAGTATGTGTACTTCTGAGTTTTAATAAAAGTTAGAAAATTAGAATGGGAAAGGAAGGATAGAGAGAGAAGGAATGTTCTTAAGTTCTGAATCTTGAAATCCAGGGGTATCTCTCCCCTTTTCTTTGCTCATTAGCTAGTGTTTGCCTGGTACTGACTCCCCTGTGAGTCAGAGAGTCTGTGCTCAGCAGAGTAGGTTTTAGCTGGGTATGCCAGAGTTAGCTTGTCATTAAGCTGATTAGCAGTTCTAAAATTGTACATGCCTGTTACCTTGCTCACAGTTCTTAAGGAATGTGGGTTTAGATAGCACAGGGATACTGCAGGATATGCCAGTGTACTATGAGGTACAACAAATATCAAAACTTAATACATTTGAAATAAACGCAATACATTTTCTTGAGTTGACCGTGTTGAGAACAGGATTGTAATTGATAATGATCTGTTTAATTAGATTAATAGGCTATACATTAAAATATACACGCAAATGTTTTATATGATGTGCTTGGATTTTTTTTTAAATAACTACATTCTATGTTGTCATCATGCAATGTCATTTATAAAAACATTTTTGCGTTGTTATAAAGACTGAATAATCCTTTTACATTGTAGGTCTCAGGTCAAAACTTCAAGCCAAGGCAACAACAAAATCTCCTCTTACCAAACCTGCCCAAAAAACAGACACTGAAAAGACTAGCAGGTGAGTTGTTCTATGAACGCAACCAGCCTGCGATCCTTACACTTGTTTTTACTATATCTATTTCTTCCAATTGATAGTCAATCTTTGGTCCTTCATTGTGTTGCTACAGCCCCACTAATAAATCAAGCAAGACTAAACCTACCACAACTAGCCGTGCAGTACCTGTAATTCCTGCATCCCGCTCAGATCCAAAGAGCAAGAGCACGGTGTCAAGCCTTTCAGAGAACCACGGTAAGAAACAGTCAGAATGGATCTAATGGTAAACTGTTATTAACACTAATGAGAGTCTTTTCTGTTCCCTCTTTTAAACAGCTTCTTCTAGACCTGGTTCAGCCCTTAGCTCTAAAAAGCCTGCCTCCCCAAGAAAAGAGGTAGAGAAAGATATATCCAAACCTTCAACTATTAAGAAGACAACAAAGGCCATCTCTGAGTCAAGGCAAAGCATTAAAGCTTCCACATCTTCCTCTAAGCAGTCGCTTGCTGCCCCAAACAAAACGGGACCTAAACAGAAGGCTCCAGAAACACTTTCAACAAAATCATCTCTTAAATCCTTTGGGGCAGTCAAAAACTCAACTCCTGCTGGCTCTAAAAAACCAGGCACTGCTGTGAAAGATTCAATATCTAGCCCCAAACACTTAAAAAAGGTTACTCAGAAGAATCCAGCTTCTACCGAAGGTAAGACAAGAAGCAAGGAAGTAGTTGCATCTTGTCTAGAGAGTTCCAAAGTTCCTTTGTCCATGGAGCAGCATTCACTAGTCAGTCCGGCTATACTAGACCAGCCAGAGGTGGTTCCCAAGGGTATTTCAGCAACTTCCACTAAGGTTCATGATATGGAGAAAAACAGTGATCCAGTGAGTAAATTACGTAACACAGAGGTGAAGACTCTAACTCCAGACATGCATACATATACTTCTGAACAGAGTGAGGTGAGCGGGAGTAAACTGGCCACAGCCCATGCCGTTCCACCCCATACCACTGGATCAGACCGGGGCCTCAATTCCATGAACTCCTCAAAGGATTTCCCTCCTGATACACCTTGCAGTCTAGGGAGCATTGAGACACCCCTAGAGGACTCGTGGAATGGGCTTCATCCCCAGGTTAGCCCAGAGTCAGAGACTGGCAGTGCCACCACTTCTTCTGATGACATAAAGCCACGGTCGGAGGATTATGATGCTGGAGGCTCACAGGATGATGACTGTTGCTCTCATGAGCGTGGCAATTCAAAGTGTGGGACCATGCGTTGCCCTGACTTTCTGGGCCGCAGCAGCAGTGACACCAGCACACCTGAGGAGCTCAAGATGTACGAGAGCGGGGCTGGACTACGTGTGGAGGTACGTCTCAGAGGACGGGAGGCAGAGACTACAAGTGAAGAAGAGGTAGGGCGTCAAAGACCACGATCGTGGATTAGAAAAGATGAAGTGCCAGTGGAGGAGGAACCTTGTGAAATGGATTCTGCATTAAAAAACTTGAAGAGTGTACAGGACCACCAACTTTTCTCCACTGAGGAGGAAGAAGAAGAAGAGGAGGAGGAAGAAGAAGAGGAAGAGACTGAAGATGAAAGATCGGAAGTTGAGGTGCTACCGAGAGGAATGGCTCCCCCACTTAACGAGCCACCTCCACAGTTCCAAGGTATTGTCAACCTCGCATTTGAAGATCCTGCGGACCAAGAGAATGAGCAACCAGAGTACCAGTCAGCTTCTAACTTCCGTCGCTCTGTTTTGCTCTCGGTGGATGAGTGTGAGGAGCTTGGATGCGAAGAAGGAGGCGCCCAGACTTCGACAGTTGATGTCTTTGACAGTGAACCTCACAATTCACAGACAGACTACTGCTCCCAGCAATCCACAAGCACAGTGATATCTAACCACCAAGAAAATGAACGGGAGCCCAAACCTGTGCTATTCCTGACAGAGGTCCGGGGATCTCCACAGGAGGATGGTGCATGTAATCAATCAGATGCCCCAGTGCAAGATAAAGACACCAGTGACGTTCCTGCTCAAGAGCGTCCTAGTCACCTGGACCTCCGGCTGGCAGAACAGTATGGCAATCTCCAGACCAAACATATAGACAGCAGGAAAGCTGACTTGCGGCTAGACTTACCTGAGCCGCAGCTGAATGTGAGCTCACCTGCACACTCTCCAGCAGGTAATGTATAATGTTAGAGCCCATCCCCCCTGACTGCAGTCTCAGAAACATCCACTCAGTTTCCCATCCTGACACATTCAACTCAAATTTTCTGACAATTCTTTTTCAATGAGGTAAATCCAGTGGGGTAAATCCTGATGGTTCATTGATTTAGAAAGTAGCACACTACTGCCTCCCTTTTCCCCTTTCATTTAATCCTTTTCTTTAAATGTCTATTGTTTGCTATCTAATACTTCAAAAAGCTATAAACACAACTAAAATGCCTTCTCTGTGGCGCTATAGGAACTCAACAAACAAGTTTACAAGCTTACTTTTTACAGTAATATACCGATATGCGTGTGGTGTAGAACATCTGTTATGTGGTGTGGCTGGGCAGTCTCAGTTGTACCATTGCACTTAATATATAGACACCCAAGTCCTCAATCATTTTTGTTTGTTTGTTATTATCCATGCTGAATAGTAAGCTTCTTACTCATAGGCCAAGTCTTTTATACGTTGACTTTTCCATAAGAGATCTTTATGCAAAAGACAAGCACCATGTGACTTGGCCTTCAAATATATAAATATATATGCACAAACATACAGTGATCTAAGCTTCCTTTTAATACTGCCCATAAAGGACCACACCTTATAGAGGCCATGATGCTTTGAATGTGTTAGATCTCAATGTTTTTTATACTCAATATTGATGTTGAGTGTTGCTGTCTTACTTTTCCAGACTCTGTCTGTTTAGTCATCCAAACCAGGGAATCTTGCATGCTTATGCTAGACTTTGTTATTGATTTTTGTTCAAATCCCATCTATGTTTGTATCCATCTTCCTGTGTGTTATTTTTTTCTTTTATTTCTCAAGCCATCAATATATCAAGCCATTTGTAGTTCTGTAGTAGTTAACCATTTTTTCAACTCTAGATTTTACATTGTAGATTTCATTTTATTCAGTGTATTTCTGTAGAATTAGTAGTTTTTCTGTATGTTGTGTTTTTCTAAAAAAAAAAAATCTAAAAAGGTCCTCCTTGTGTCTCTCTTTTTTCACACTTGTATTATGATTCCAATCACTGTTAATGGTTTTGCTTGAGTTTTTCTTGACAAGAAGCATATCTTGAGTTTGCCAAGTAAAGCAATAAGCAGCACTCTTTGCCAGCATGTCCCTCATATTTTCAGTGTAGCTTTAAGTTAAAAAATAAGAAACAAACTAAAAAGCTCTCGTGCTTGCTTACGTTTCAATGTGTATATCTTAGAGAAAATGCTCAGTTTGATCAGAACCAGAGAATTCATCTATTTTGTGTGTGAACAAAACATAAGTTATGCTGGAGATGGCAAAAACATGCCTTTTACTGTTATAGCACTTGTGAACAAAAGAGACACATTCAGTGTAGGTTTTCCTCTGTGCATCACCTTTATGGCAGCTGTCCATCCTTATCCTAAATTCAGAAGTTGTTCCATGGATAACATGGAAACTTCATGGAAAATCAAGAGTTGCTCCATGGAAAACTTTGGATTTGCACATCTGCTTATTTGTAATGCATGCGTCATTGAATCAAATCTTGATTAATGACAATTAAAAAGTGATGACTGCCTAAGACAGAATATATTTTTTCATCTATGTAGTCTTTAAAAGGATTCGTACTTCAAGCTTGTGTTAACTGCATCATGGAGGACACAGTTGCACTAGGGGTGATTCTGTACATCTTGTGGAGCTAGAAACAACGCATGTCTTCAAGAAAATGTTTTTTTGTTTTGTTTTGTTTTGTTTTTAAAGCCCACATACGGATAAAACACTTGGTCATTGTGCAGTATTGTCAATTATTTTTAGGGGACATTGATGGTTGTGACACATTGGATCAAACCTGCACACATGACCGGCGGTCGTCTAAAGCCCTGTCCCCCATTTACGAGATGGACCTGGGAGAAGCCCTCGAACAAAGAATGGATGCAGACAAGAGCAATGATCCCCAACAGGAGGAGTCACATTGGAATGGTAAAGGAGTAGAGACCGAGCACGTTAAAGAGGAAGTGGACAATGAAGTCGGAGAGTTTGCAGAGAAAGACTGGAGTCTGCTTCGACAGCTACTGTCTGACCAAGAGTCCAATCTGGGCATCATAAACTCAGTCCCAGAGGATTTAAACCTTGCACAATACCTGATAAAGCAGACGTTGTCCTTGTCTCGAGACTGCTTGAATGAACAGGACTACTTGTATCACGAAAAGGACACATTTAAGCGCTGGGCCGAGCTTATTTCTCCACTGGAGGACTCCACCACCAGCATCACTGTGACCAGTTTCTCCCCCGAGGACGCTGCCTCTCCACAGGGCGAGTGGACTATCGTGGAGCTGGAAACGCATCACTGATGGCATCCTGGACTGGAATACAGCCAATGTTTTGATGGGACCTTTCTGTGCTTCTTATTTGTTTTGGGGAGAAAGACAGATCAGTTGCAGCTTAAGTTGAGCGAAGTTACATGGCATTTTGTACTCCTTGTACAGGTACTATATGAAGGACAGGAATAATGACCTCAGTGCAGTTGTTTTGCATGTGGGCAATTTTCTAAGTTATATTGTTTACTTGATGGGTGTTGCTTGAATCTTTGTAGAATACCAAAAAATGCATTTTCTTGTTGCTCTTTTTGTCTCTGAATGATGACGCTTCTAAAATGTTTTGAACCGAGTGTAGAGAGTAAGTGGTTCTGGTTTACATTTCTTGTTTTAAAACAATAAAAGCCGTGTTGTTTGAATTTTGTTGCTTTTTTTCTTGAAAGGTGATAGATTGATACATTTTATTACTTGCATCTGCCTATGTCGTTTTGGATGGAACAAAAAAAAAAGTCTATTTAAATGGTGAATTTTGTTTTATAAAAAATCATGCAATAAATCAAAGTAAATTAATGGTCTTTTTGACCCCAAATGACCGTTGCTACAAACAAAAATATAAATTGGAATGGAATTTTTTAAAACAAATGTATTATCACTCCTTTTATTAATGTTTTTACATTTGTGTACTCTACATTTGTGCAGTGTTTGGGGGATTTAATGTACTTTGTAAATTTATATGAATAAGTAATTTATTTATTTTTTTAAATAGGATGAATGGGGAAATCTATACTTGTTTTTAGATTTGTCAAATAAAAAAACTAAATCAGCCACAACACAGAACACAAATACACAGAAGTGAAGTAGCACATCCACAATGGGGAATGCTCGTGCTCATAAACCCACATAAACCGCTCCACCTAAAATCAGCCATAGACATAAATGGGAACCATAAAAAATGGCTTTTGTTACATAATTTGCCACAAAAAAAAGGGTTAGGGTTTTCCCCAAACCCACAAAATCACTCATAAGAAATGAAAAATGGGCTGCCATAAGTTGCTTTCTGTTACATAATTTGTCAAAAATAAATGTGACACCACAACACATCCACGATGAAGAACAAATGCAAACACACACAAAACACACATATAACACTATATTCAAGTTTGACTTTAATAATGTCTCATAATTGCAAAAAAGTAAATAAAAAAGCTAAAATTTGAAAAGGTTATTTTAGAATGTCTAAACATACACTCACCGGCCACTTTATTAGGTACCCCATGCTAGTAACGGGTTGGACCCCCTTTTGCCTTCAGAACTGCCTCAATTCTTCGTGGCATAGATTCAACAAGGTGCTGGAAGCATTCCTCAGGGAGTTTGGTCCATATTGACATGATGGCATCACACAGTTGCCGCAGATTTGTCGGCTGCACATCCATGATGCGAATCTCCCGTTCCACCACATCCCAAAGATGCTCTATTGGGTTGAGATCTGGTGACTGTGGAGGCCATTTTAGTACAGTGAACTCATTGTCATGTTCAAGAAACCAATTTGAAATGATTAGAGCTTTGTGACATGGTGGAAGTAGCCATCAGAGGATGGGTACATGGTGGCCATAAAGGGATGGACATGGTCAGAAACAATGCTCAGGTAGGCCGTGGCATTTAAACGATGCCCAATTGGCACTAAGGGGCCTAAAGTGTGCCAGGAAAACACCCCCCACACCATTACACCACCACCACCAGCCTGCACAGTGGTAACAAGGCATGATGGTTCCATGTTCTCATTCTGTTTACGCCAAATTCTGACTCTAACATCTGAATGTCTCAACAGAAATCGAGACTCATCAGACCAGGCAACATTTTTCCAGTCTTCAACTGTTCAATTTTGGTGAGCTCTTGCAAATTGTAGCCTCTTTTTCCTATTTGTAGTGGAGATGAGTGGTACCCGGTGGAGTCTTCTGCTGTTGTAGCCCATCCGCCTCAAGGTTGTGCGTGTTGTGGCTTCACAAATGCTTTGCTGCATACCTCGGTTGTAACGAGTGGTTATTTCAGTCACTGTTGCCCTTCTATCAGCTCGAACCAGTCTGGCCATTCTCCTCTGACCTCTGGCATCAACAAGGCATTTCCGCCCACAGAACTGCCGCTCACTGGATGTTTTTTCTTTTTCGGACCATTCTCTGTAAACCCTAGAGATGGTTGTGCGTGAAAATCCCAGTAGATTAGCAGTTTCTGAAATACTCAGACCAGCCCTTCTGGCACCAACAATCATGCCACGTTCAAAGTCACTCAAATCACCTTTCTTCCCCATACTGATGCTCGGTTTGAACTGCAGGAGATTGTCTTGACCATGTCTACATGCCTAAATGCACTGAGTTGCCGCCATGTGATTGGCTGCTTAGAAATTAAGTGTTAACGAGCAGTTGGACAGGTGTACCTAATAAAGTGGCCGGTGAGTGTACATCTAAATAACAAAAAAAAACTTTATGAAAAGATGTATACCCATGAGAAAATGGCAAATGAGGCATTTAGTAATGCTTTAAAGCATCTGTAGTTGAAATTTCATGTTATTTTAATTTTAAAAGTGTTTGTTCTCCAGTTGATGGCAGCAATATTCCATTAAACCATGGCACATTGTCCATGTTATCTCCATGAATGAAAATGAGAAATGTGGATTCGTTTTGGGGGAATTTTTACATAAAATATTATTATACATATTTGTATCTAAAAAAAAAAAAAACTTTTTTTAACATGTTTTTATTTAAAACATGTTAAAAACATGTTTTTATTTATTTATATATATATATATATATATATATATATATATATTTATATATATATATATATTTATATATATATATATTTATATATACATTATAAATATAAAAATATATATTTTTATATTTAAAAATATAAAATATTATATTTTATATAATATTTTATATAAAAAATATTATATAATATTTATGTGCCCCCCCCCCCCCCCCCCCCCCCCCAACACTGCACAAATGTAGAGTAAAAACATTAATAAACTGAATGATATTACATTTGTTTTTGTTGTTTTTTTGTTTTTAAATTACATTATTATGTTACAAAATCACATTGGACATCTGGACTATAACCACTCATTAAAAGACTATAGCAATGACATTTTGTGTTATGGGTTTATATGGTTTCATGTATTTATAACCCAGTTTATTAGATTTTTTTACCTAATGTTTTGAATCAAAAATAAATCGTACCACCTTTAGGTTATGGGAAAGAGTTGGAAATAAATCTGCAGTTACATTTTTCTGTGACATCAAATAAAAGCACGACTTAAAACAGCCAAGCTAGAAGATTTCCATTTGATAATAAATTTCAATAATGCTACACTGTACAGAGATCTCCTTAACAATGCTTCAAAACCTTACCTTGTCACTTTGAACATGAGAATGGCATTTTGAGGCCTGTGTATTTCTGTATCTCCTGGACAATAGGCTAAATCAGGACACAAGACTTTGAGGACAAAAAAAGATGAGTCTGTTCTCCATTGCTCAGATTAGCTGACTGTGACAGATGGAAAAGTAAAAGTGTCTTGAGAAGAATACAATAAGCAAGCAAGCACAATAAGAGTACATATTGTGTACTCTTATTGTACACAAGTACAATAAGAATCAGAGAGTGAGACTTGTCTATACCGAATATGCTTTTGTTTAAATGTGCATACATTTGCAAAAACACTGCCGAAACTGGACAAGCTTCAGGTAGATCCTTACTAAATAGACACAAATCTGCAGAAAGCATTCTTATTCACTTTTTCGACTGGCGCAGGATATTATATTATATTTCAAACATGTAATGGTTTTAACGGGTCCATTTTATGATTACAGTTTTTGTGAATTGTTGAAACACATTTCTTGAAACCATCACTTTCTCAAAACCTTAAATACAAAACCAAATTTCCATTCACCGAACCTCTGACTCTTCTGGCAAAATCAAACAATTGCCTCAAAACCATTTTATCTGTGCTCAAAATCAAACAGCGAGTCAAAATCATAAACACTACAGATCATTCATTAGACACAAATGGAGAACTGCAGAATCCAAAGCATGCAGTCACAGAAAACAAGTATTGTAACAAAGTAAACAAATGTTGCAATTATGTAAAAAAGTATAGTAATGGCAACTTACGGTAGTACTGCAAGTATTGTACTGTACTGAATTGTACTGAATATTGAATAGTAGGCCTATCGAAAGTCTGTATATTCACCACTTGCATTCTGTGAAAATACAGTGACCCATGCAAAAGCCAAAAAGGTTACAGTAAAAAACTCTAAAAGAAAAGCATGTTACAATAAAGTACACTCAGAAGAGTTGTGAAACTGCAGAATCAAGGTCAGTGAGAGAGATTGATTCTGTTTCAGCATCATGTCTTCATGTCGGTCCGGCCGGAGGAGTTTCTCCGGGTCAAAATCTTTTTTTTCTTTCTTTTTTTTTTTTTTTTTAATTGGGTATAGCTCCAAAAGTCAGTCACTTAGGAGTCTGAACCCAGTGTCACCTTGACATGCTCGATTTGTGAATTTTTTCACAGCAAAGCTCTTGTCTGTAAAACGTTCGCTAAGTCCGTTAGACGGGAATGTTGAAAATAGGCGTTTTTCATGTTTAAACAATGGATATTAACAATTTATAATAAACACACAGTGCTGGGTTACAAAAACACTTGTTTTAGATTGAACCTGATTTGTGAAAACTTTCACAGGTCAGTTTGGGCCAGTTAACCCTTCCCTGAGTGGTTAACTTGGTCATTCTGATTTGTGAAAACTTTCACAGATAGGTTTGGGTCAGTTAACCCTTTACTGAGTGGTTAAATGGTCATTCTGATTTGTGAAAACTTTCACAGATCAGTTTGGGTCAGTTAACCCTTCCCTGAGTGGTTAACTTGGCCATTCTGATTTGTGAAACCTTTCAGAGGTCAGTTTGGGTCAGTTAACCCTTCCCTGAGTGGTTAACTTGGTCATTCTGATTTGTGAAACCTTTCAGAGGTCAGTTTGGGTCAGTTAACCCTTCCCTGAGTGGGTAACTAGGTCATTCTGATTTGT